GTATCCCTGGTACTCCTGGTATCCCTGGGATTCCTGGTATCCCTGGTATCCCTGGTATCCCTGATATCCCTAGTTCTCCAAGTATTGTTTAGACTGGAGCCGGAAACTCGGTCTAGGATCTCACTTTGAAATTACTCACTTCTAACACTAAGCTTCCGAACCATATTAGAAAATTGTTTACAGGTTATTTTTCCTGATCCTCGAACTAGGCTTGGATCCTGCTACTGAACGGTTTATATAAGGTTAAGTATAAAATGGGTATGAGAATAATGGTTTATCAGGGAGCTAAGTTTATATATTGCTCCGTCCTGCTGGGTTCAACAATATCCTATATTTATACCTTCTCCACAATTATGGTTTAACCAGAACTATTCAAGTGTATGATTCCGGATAAGGAGGCATGGGGGGGGGGAGTAATTATTTGTGTCTATTGTCAGACGAAATTCTGTATTAATCTTTGGGAGTTGCCTGGCATTAAGATATTTAAGAAAACTGCGAAATGAATTTTAGTAACGTTTTACATATAATATGAAAAAAGTGAAAACTTTATTTGTAAATAAAACTATTAGATATTTGATTGCTTATCATTGATGTATGATCAGAGTGTTTTTTATCAGTGTAAGTATCGAATATTTGATTGCTTATCATTGATGTATGATCAGAGTGTTTTTTATCAGTGTAAGTATCGAATATTTGATATTTGANTTTTCTTCTCTTCTCCTTTCTTCTCATCACTTTTCTTCTTTTTTTTCTTCTCTTTTTTCTTATCTTTTCTTTTCTTCTCTTTTCTTCTCTTTTCTTCTCTCTCTCTGAGATTACGATCTCTGGGTTTCATCAACTTCAAGATGTCGCGGAAAGTAAACATTAAATCATCTATATGGTTATTTTCTTGTATACGATTACGCACCATACACCATATACAACACACAGGGTTTGACAGTGCACCTGGAAAACATTATAGTTATGTCTACATCAAATTCATGCATAATTGTTTTTTTTTTAATCTGAAAGCAAAATAAATTTTTTTCTGTTTTGTTTGCAGTACAATTTTTTTCGTGTTTCACACCCTCCTCGGCAGCAGCTTATGAGTGAAGTTTTGAACATTTTTGGAAAGTGTTGGTGGATTTCTTTTCTTATTACGGTATTTAGATAGCTTGTGTTGTAGGCGCTTCGCGCCACTTTTCCATTAATAATTGTGGTCGGTCGGAATCTTTTATAAAGTTTATTAGAACTTTTTTTTCTCCAAAATTTTACTAGAGGGAAAAACTTTAGAGATGGATCTCCGGTTAGGATTCTGCGGCTCAGTTTTACCTGTAACGTTTAGGGATAAACCTTATCCGCATATATACAGGGTGTCCCAATAAACATGGGAATTCAGTGAAGAATTCAATATCGTCTTTGTTATGAACTAGCATTGTAATAACTGATTTAAAAGACATGATATTATATATTATATCTGCTAGAGTTTATTTAATGAAAACGGTAAATGGTTGTAAATATGTGTCTATAATGTCTCTGCAAGATAAATAGTGTTTGTAAACTGTAATTTTCTTGTTTTACTAAGTACAACCGTATGCAATCAAAACATAAACAAACAAATTTTAAGCATAGCAGACGAATATCTTACGGATTACAGCTTTCTCATTAGGTATCACTGTACTAAATAAAAGAATTTTACTCCTATCCCATGTTTGATGTCCAAATATGACAAATAATAAATCACTGGAAAGCTCTTATGCTCTACTTTTAGAATCTGCAAAAAATTTGCAAATTTTCAAAAAAAAAAATTTGGCAACATCTAGTTCTATAGTATTTAACCTTAGAATTTTTCCTGAGGACTTCCCCTCCTTCCCCACCAACCCTCCCAACCAACCGTCAAACTCAATAAATCCACCAATATTTCTCAGAAATCATACTTTCATCCTTAATTTTACTTCCCTTCAATGCCATAAAGAAATAAGGAGAAGAAAGGAATATTTCTTACAGTCAGCTGAAACCTACACAGTTGTGAAACCTTGATGAGTATACGTGTGGGTATCTTGATAGATTATCTTCCAGGAATTATGCAAATTCACTGGCACTCGTGTTAATAGATTCAGTTCTCTAATTCAACAATATTCGTCCCTGCAGATTTCTGATCTACCATGCATTGGTTATATTCAACCTTTCCATACTTATCCTGATCAACCTTTCCATACTTATCCTGATATATTCAACCTTTCCATTATACTGATATATTCAACCTTTCCATACTTATCCTGATCAACCTTTACATACTTATCCTGATATATTCAACCTTTCCATACTTATCCTGATATACTTAACCTTTCCATACTTATCCTGATATACTTAACCTTTCCATACTTATCTTGATATATTCAACCTTTCCATACTTATCCTGATCAACCTTTCCATACTTATCCTGATATATTCTACCATTCCATACTTATCCTGAAATATTCAACCTTTCCACACTTATTCTTGTGTATTAAACACCTTACTTACTTATCCTTTGCTGAGCTTTGTACTTAGCTATGCAAAGCTGTAAAGTAAAAATGTTTTCTTATTAAACAAATATGAAGGTTATTATCACTCCTAACTTAATTGTTAATCTTCTCTGCAGTGAAAAGATTCTTTATTCACTGGTTTTTGTTCAGCGTGCATAAATTCCTGGCAGTTCCGCCTTCCCACCAATTCATTCTTCTTCTTTTTATCTTTATTCTATTAAATCTTTAATAAATTATAATGACGCGTGATAATGTATTGAGGTATAGAATGAAAAATTTGATAAAGTAAAATCTAAACATAAAAATGATGTTTTTCAAGAAAATGTTTTGAATCAATACTAAGTTTGTTCATGGACGATATTCGTGATTTAAAATTATACTTGCCTAAATATAGATTCAATATTTATACACAGAATACTCGCACTATGCCTACGGCTTTATGGTGAGAGGGGGTTAAAAAAATGGGACAATTGAATAAAATTTTACAAAACACCATTCAGATTTTCTAATCCCTATATCTTTGCAACCCAAATGTCGTAAATCTTAGGTGTTTAACTATATCATATTTTTTTCATATTTTTATTCAACTACAATTAAGCAATCACAATTTACTATATATTTTGTTAGATCAAATAGTAAGGTTTACACCATCAGATATAGAGATTTGTGTTTGTGACAGATTAAATTCCTTAGAGTTAAACTGCAATTTTCAGATATATTTTGGTCGAAACAACTTTTCCCAGCCATAGTGCTTTGTTTTCATTCTTAGTTACTAGCACTCTGGGATCTTGTCAGGCTACAGTTGTTTCATAAAATGTGCTAGGTCGACCCTTCACTTGGTAGCCCAGACAGATTGAATGTACATGCAGTACATGTGTTGTACCGGCTCGGCCGACCCTTCCCTCGGTAGTCCAGACAGATTGAATGTACATGCGGTACATGTGTTGTACCGGCTAGGTCGACCCTTCACTTGGTAGCCCAGACAGATTGAATGTACACGCAGTACATGTGTTGTACCGGTTCGGCCGACCCTTAAATATAAATTTAAAAAATTTCCTCTTAAATTTTTATATACAGGCGAGACACACTGCTAGGTCTAGTAACTGTTTGGTTCGACGTGTTATAAAGATTTCGGCAGAAATTTTCTCTTTATCAAGAAAGTTCAAGCTTTTTTAGAATATATTTTGTCCCGAGCTTATAACACTGCGAACCAAAATAACAGTGTTAAATAAATAGTTGAAATTAGTATAAAGTGATCATGCATGATCAGAGTGCACAATAGTTTCATAAACTTGTTTTTTTGGTCGGTGGATAGTGGATACGTTTTAAATGAAATGTAGGAAAAGATAACTATGTAAGTTTAAAGGTTGTTGAATTTGAGACCAAAACACGATTAAAATCATATTAAAGAAACCGAAAACATCTAGCACTAGATAGTCCCGGATGAAAGTATTAAAGTCGAAGAGAAGAAAATAAGAATAGAAGATTAGAGTGAACTGAAGGAGAAAGGAAGCTTGAAAAAAAAGATATTGAAGAATAAATTAGCGAAAGGAGAAAGAAGGAAAAGAATAGAAGAACAAAATTAACAAAGAAAAGAGAAGAGAAGACCGGAGTCCAGTGAAGAAAGATGGGGAAAAGAAATAAAGAAAATTGGAAAGAGAGAAGGAGAGAAGGAGAGAAGGAGAAAAGGAGAGAAGGAGAGAAGGAGAGAAGGAGAGAAGGAGAGAAGGAGAGAAGGAGAGAAAGAAAGAAGGAGAGAAAGAGAGAAGGAGAAAAGGAGAGTAGAAGAGAGGAAGAGAAGGAAAGTGGATAAAAAAAGGAAAGAAAGTAACTGAATAAGGAAGGGGAAGGGATTAAATATAAGAAAAGAAAGGTATGAAGTACTAATGCGAAAGAAGAAATGAAGAGAGGAATAAAAAATTAATTAACGGAGAAAGAGAAAAGCTATTATTTTTTTAAATGACAAAATATGTGAAGAAAAAAATAATGTACAGGAATGATATAGAGGCGAGACGAGAAAAGGTAAGGAATGTAAGGAAGAGCGGGAAATCTTGAATTGGAAGATGTTTTAACGGCATTCCGTATCTGCATAACCCCTCCCTCCCTTCCCCTCCCTCCATCCCTCCCTCGCGTCTTCCCATCTTCAGCGCCGCGCCCACATGAGTACGCAACTACGCAACGTCAGTGTATTTGCGTCAGCGACGGAGGAGTGATGTGAACGCTAACATATATTGAGTGAAACATAAATATACTCAAAGCTTTTGAAGAAAAAGTAAAGAATAATTTAACAAAAACTGTGAAATCTGTAGATTCCGAAAAAAAGGTGAAGGAGGTAACGGCATTTTGTTCTTCAGAATTTTTTTTTAGCATGTATACATACAGTTCGAAACACTTGATGTTGAGGATCAAAAAAATTCTTAACTTTTTCGGACTTTCTGCATACGCCTAACATCATAATTATCATTCATTAGTTTATTCATCCTTAAATAACATTAGGAAACTTTACGTGTTCAATTTTCATTTTCAATTAAGTTTGATTAAGGGGTAGGTCGGCACTCTTATCTGGAAACTATTAAACTATAGTCGGAATTATAGGTTGATATAGTGGGAAACCAATAAACTAATTTATTTGAAAATGTATGTAGATATAGGCATACGTGAGCTATTCAAAATAATTTTTTTTAAATCTGATTTGATAACCCTTTTATTTTTGCAAATCGATGTCGTAGACCTTTGATATTTTAAGTTGTAAATTTTACCAGATCAAATATTCTAAGTTTGACATATCAAAGTTTTACAGAACAAGGTTGCAAAGATATAGGAATTATAAAATTGGAGTTTGTGGCAAAAGTTGTTTAGGTTATTTTTATGTTTGGCTTTTAAAGAACTTTGAGTTATATTTTTATAATCCAATTTTCGTTGTATTCAGTACTCACTATGCACCACTATTCACATGTATTCAGTCTTTTGAATATTTGCTAGCTGTATCCTGTGTATCCTGAGTATATCTCCAGTATCCTGTATAAATCCATTATTCAGTATCCTGTATTAAAACCACATCTTTCTCTCCGTCCTAATTCGTTCTTTCCTTCCTTATCAGTGTGATTAGTGTTAATGAGAAGATGATTGATGAGAATCCGTCCTATATATGTTCTGTATTTTATATGTAAAGAAATAACGTATCAACCACCCCCGGAGCATTTCAGGACCTGGAGAACATTGATACACATGCATATCCAACATATATCAATATTCAGAACAGTTCATAAGTTTGCAATAATTAAAATATATTTCAGTTTAAATCTTATTTCCTTGGTCAAAAAATTAAAAACTCATGAATTCATCAGTCATTTTGGAGAGGAAAAATTATTGATAAATTGTTAATTTCTATCTGAACTTTGAAAATCTTCGGCATTGCTTTTCTAAAAAAGCTGAATTTTGATTCTCTAAAACATATCGTGGAGATTTTTCCGCAAATGCAAAGTTATTTTTTATTTAATAGAAAAAATTAATTCAAAGATTATTTAGAATTACGTTTAAAGAATAAAGGAAATAGCCACATTTTTCTGTTTATTTTAAATTTTAAAATGCAAAAGGAGGAAGGAAAAATAAATCAATATTTTGAACACATGACCGGATTCTAATCCATAATTAGTGAAGAATACTATTTCATATTATTTTAGAATTATCTATATATAAAAAGTTGTAATCTCTGTTTGTCTGTCTGTTTCTTTCTTTGTCCGATCATAGCTCAGGAACCCCTGGACCAATTTGCCTCAAATTTTAATTGGGGAACTCAGGAGAACAGCGGGAATGTTCTTAGCTTGGTTTGAGATTTTAAAATTAGTGAGTCCACTTTTAACAGGAAAATAGCTAAAATCATATTTTACGATAAAGCGCGGGTAAACGGAGGGACTAACTATGTCTCCCATGTCTCCCCTGGGCAACGCTAGTTTAATAAATAAAGAAGCTTAATCTAATCAATCCAGTAATTGATGACAGAACTCCGTAGAGATAAACTAACCTCTACTTACTTTACTCTTAAGTGACTTCCGATTTAACAAGTTACAGAACCGATAAAACAGTATCCTTTGAACCATTACATAGTTGAGTAAAAATAAAAAATGTCGTCGTTTCTCCATCTTGAAAAATGAAAATAGGTAAAAGCTAAATGTTTTTATCTTTAAATGGAGGGTCACTTGAAATTACGTCATTAGTTTTTTTACACTTAAAAACTGAAGTAAGTTGTAATAAAAGTTTCTGATGAGGATATCAATGTTCAGGCGTTGTATAGATTTGCGCTTTATCATTAAAAAGTTCCAACCTCGGAACAAGGTTCTAAGTTGAGATTCTAAGTTGAGTAGACCGACTTTTATAGCAAAAATTTAGTGCGACCAAGTGCGGGTAAACGGTGGGATTAACTATGAGTAATCTGGGCAGCGCCGGGTTCCCAAGCGAGTGTAATGGTATATTTCATGCAGTTAAAAGGTTTATTAGTTCTGTATGCAAATCAATATTATGGTTACAATCTACACAGGGGGTTACAGGAATACAGCACACTATAAAAAGAATTGATGGGCATTATTCTACATGGTTTAAAAAACTAGATTTTTACAATTAAATTGGTAAAAAACGAAGGATAGGGGGGTTACAAACCATTTTTAACATAAGGGATGTCCAAGTAAAGAATCTACACATATATATATATATATATCTGTAATAGGTTGTAAGGATTCTATATATAAATAAATATCAGTAAAGGATAGTAAGGAATATATATATCTGTAAATTGGTTTTGGGAACCCTTGGTAAAGTAAAATTCACTTAACTTCCCAGTAAAGTACTTCGAAATAATTCGTGGGGTATTTTTTTAAATAAAAGGGTTAAAAGTAACATAATATGCAAAGGTGCTAATACTAATACTTCAAGCTGACGCGAACCCCAATGGCAAAAATATCAGAATATCAAATGCCAAATGATCAAAAATCTTTAAATGATCAAAAAAATGTACGCTAAACAGTTAGGACAACTAGTTTTTTTCTTCAAAAATATACAATTTAACAATAAAGTTAATTTTAAAGTTTAAGGTATTCTTAAACATAGATAAACATAGATAAAACGTCTGTAAAATGCAAGCTCTCTCGTTCACGCAATCTATTTTTCTTCTTTCTCTTTTCATCTATTTTCTTCTCTTCTCCTTTCTTCTCATCACTTTTCTTCTTTTTTTTCTTCTCTTTTTTCTTATCTTTTCTTTTCTTCTCTTTTCTTCTCTTTTCTTCTCTTTTCTTCTCTACTCTTCTCTTCTCTACTCTTCTCTTCTCTACTCTTCTCTTCTCTTATCTCTTTTCGTCTTTTCCCTTATCTCTTATCGTCTCCTCTTTGTTTTCTCTTTGTTGCTGACATTTAACCGGTTTTGAGATGAACAATGCAGTGCGATCCGTTGTTGTGATTTTTCTCTGATTTGTTTACATTTCTAGCTTTTAGATCTAACTGAAACGTACTGCGTTTGTACTCCATAATTAGGCATTTGATCATTTGGCAATTGATATTTTGATATTTTTGCCCTCAATGTTCTGTTTGAAGTCTAGATAACGGCCTGGAACCTCAATTCTATAGTCTTCATTCCCACACGTTTATTCTCACCTCATTATTCTTGGATACAAATACAGAACCATCTTGAGCCGCACCTTGTCCTTACATACATACCTGGGGAGGGCAGCTCACATAAATAATTTAAATTATAAATCACCCCTTCGTGTTTCCTAAGCACAGACACTTAGACACGGACTTCAAAGTAAGAAATATATTTTTAACACGAGAAAAGGTTCTATAGGTATCAAATGAATTATAATATTAATTCTATAATACTGCACTGTCAGTTCAACTCCCATACCTAGCCAGTCACTCCCTTTAAGAAGAAGTTTTATTCTAACAAGACAAGAAGAGAAATGAGACTATCCAGATTACCTCAAATTATTTTCATCTCATTGTCATTCATTTCCTGTGGGTTTTCAAGATTTGTCTCCCCCAAGGTTAGGTTGAAGATACAAGATACAAGATACAGGATACAGGATACATTCAGTATACAGTCTCAAGTTTACTCATACCGTATGTAATAAAATACCTCACGAAATCAACTATCAGATTATGCTTCAAGAACAAACTAGAAATTAATGACAAACATCATATTGCAAAGTTTTCGGCATTATAAAAAATATTCTGATATATAAAAAGAAACAATTTTTTGATTTAGAATATTGAAAAATAATATTTGTCGCTTTTACTTTGGGCTGTATAGACTTTTAATACCGAACTAAACTTAATTAATTGTAATGGTATAAAGTAAAATTTGGATGGTCAGAAAAAAAATATCAACTAATTTCTTTCAATTAATTTAATAAATATTTAATTAATCTGTAAAAACAAGAAAGTTAACGAACTTTTAAGTTAAAAAAAATAAAAAATAAAGAATAAGTAAAGAAGTATCTCTGTAGAGTTTTATTAGCATTTACAACTTATAAGAGTTAGGAACGTTTAATTTAAACAATAAATTCTTTCAAAGGAATTGAGTCTTTGCAACAAACTCTGATTTTCTAATCCTTGTAATGCCGCAGACCTTAGATATTTCAAACTATGAATTATGCTGGATCATATAAATTAAGTTTGAAATATCACAGGTTTACACCATCAAGTTTTAACGATATTAGGATTAGTAAATCTGTGTTTGTGGCAAAGACTCAATTACTTTGTTAACTTTAATGAAAACCTATCATTCATCATCCTTCTAGTCAGCGTGAAGGACTTTGTTACTTTGCATTTTATAACTATTAATTACTACTTAACCGGGAGATTAAGGGAGGATAATTAAATTGAGGGGAAAACCACTTAGCCGAGGGCCTCCAAGACCTTTTTGGGGTTCTAACCCTCACGAGAGAAGAGCTATTTAGAAGAACAAACATGTTTTTGTCACAAACTCTGATTTTCTTATCCCTATATCTTTGCATTTCAATGTCAGGAACCCTAGATATTTCAAACTATGAATTATACTAGATAAAATAAGAATAGATTAAAATATCAAATGTTAACACCATCAGGTTGCAAAGATATAATGATTAGATAATCAGACTTTGTGGCTAAAACTCAGTTCCTTTCCAATATGTAACAAAACAATTGTTTTTCTCATTCTTGGGCTTGGAACTAAAACTTGAGGGGATACGAGGTCACAATGTCGAATCAGCAATGTCGCATACATTTGACTTTCTTGCTAGCTATCTGGTTTACAGTGTTCTGCAAACATATATGTACATAAACAATAAAAACTTTAAACAGTGAATATTTCATCTTAAAAAGGTCAAAGTATTTGTAAGTGGGCTACATTAACTTCATCTTTAATGACCTATATTTGTGCATAACCACGTGAAAAGTTTTATTTTATGTATTTTCAATATTGAAATCATTGGTCTGATCAAGATAACAAGATATGTAGGGTGCAGGGGTAAATCATGAATTTTTCTTAAATACAAAAGTTTCTCTGAATATTTAATAATTTAACTTCATTCATAATTTTAAAAAAAAAAGAATCTTTTAATAATGTTTTAAACCTTTTGGAACTTTTCACCAAACTCCTTCATACCCTTCAAACCCTTTTTTGGATCTAACAATAGTTTAAAACCTATCGAAACACTTCATACGGCAATTGAGAACATTTAAGGACCAAAATCTGTTGTTCATGGTTCAAATTTTCCAAGCAAAGCCTTTTTAGTATTTATAATTTTAAAATTTTAGATTCCGGACAAAGATAATTCATTTCTCCCAAAGAGGAATTGGTTTGTCATACTTTTCAATTTTCTCAGGAATTTGTAACTATGAGGAAGCATTTTCTAGGATAATAATTCAAACAATCTATAGAAGAATTTGAATTTATGACAATTTTATTTCTAAACTAGCTTGGTGACCATGCACGCATCTCTGTCCCTTTAGTAAAAGTAAATTCAACCTAAAATCTGACCGCGCCAACATTGTTAGTCCTAGTCCTATTGAGTATCTGCTTAATTTGCCCAATGTCCGGGCGATACAGTACAAACTAGGACCGGAAAGGTTGACCCAGCTCGGAAATTCAAATGTTCTACGGCTGCCCGTGCATGCTTTACTTGGACACTAATCTTTCTCTCCAAAAGTAAACCCACTCAACTTAGAATTGTTGAATTAAAATAAGAACATACCGAGTTCCCCAATCATATTTGAGGCAAATTGGTCCAGGGTTTTCTGTGTTATGATTAGACATGCAAACAAACAGACAGAGATTACAACTTGTATAAATTTGTCGTTATTTCTTTGTTGTAATTTCTATTAACTATGTTAAAAGGGTATATTTGAAGAGGTGTTGAAGGACGGACAAGAAGTCCATTATCATTTCCTGACTCCGACTCCAATATGTGAGGCGTGTGTTGTGTATACCGGACCCACTATTGTTTTCTTATAATTAGAAAAATAGATGGAAACAAAGAACAAATGACAAATCCAGCTGACCCGTGCATTGTTTCAGATTCTGGAAGAGGGATGAGGAAGGAGAGAGAGCCTCTAGCTACCAGGAAATGGGAAAATATAAACTCTGCACCCATCCGTCTGCATTAAGTGACGTGTGAAATAGACTGGAAGATTTGTTTTGGTTTATAATGTTTTGAAGTGCAGAAGGTTAATAATGCGGAGAAAAATGAAGATTTTGTTGCTGCTCATTCATACAGTAGCAGTACTGTCACAACAACAACAAAAAGGTATTTTTTACTTTGCCAACAATTCATTTAGATAAAATTTGTCATAAAGGTTTTCAATCTTGAATCTTGATTGTTGTAAGCAAGTGTCCTTGTATACCTTAGCCTAATAATTGCCAATCATTGTTGAATTTCTGGTTGATTGAAAACAGTGAGACAGAGGACTTATCCATTAAGTATACACTATACAGGGNGAAGGATTTGCTATGCACCAATGGATGATGTAGACGAAGATTCTTCGAAGTGAATAATTGAATTGAGGTTTGATATAAGAATCAAATTATCTGAAACCTAGCTCCGGGTGTTAAAGCTCTTTGATCGGCGAAGCCAAGTCCCAGTTTATTTACAGACCCTGATAATATATACCATTCTTCTTCTCCGCACACTTAGTGTAAACCATTCTGCAATCCATCATCTTTCTCTCACCAACTCTTATACTTTCCGTCCTTACACCCTGTCATATCCTCACGAATTCAGTCCTTCCTGTCTTTTACTCTTTACTCTTTCATTCGTCCGTCCTTGCTTATAGTATTAGCAACGAATGGTTTAAAAGGTCTATTTATTAACATAATATCTTTCGACTTCTTCTTGTCCTATAGTCCCAAAATTTTATTTTAAACTGTCCTATTCTTGATATTGCTGTACTACTTAATTTTCCATCATTCACTTTCCGTCCTTTATTCCATGGACATCATACATCTTTACTCATTTTCATTGTTTCATGTTTTTATTCTATGTTCCATTCTCTCATTTTCTGTTTCTACTTCATGTTCCATTCATTTTCATTTTCTGCTTCATGTTCCATTCTCTCATTTTCTATTTCTACTTCATGTTCCATTCTCTCATTTTCTGTTTCTACTTCATGTTCCATTCTCTCATTTTCTGTTTCTACTTCATGTTCCATTCTCTAATTTTCTGTTTTTACTTCATGTTCCATTCTCTCATTTTCTGTTTCTGGCTCATGTTTCATCCTATACTCTCATTTTCTTTTTCTGTTCATGTTCCATTATCTCAATTTCAATTCCTAAAACATGTTCCTTTATCTTATTTTCTGTTTTTACTTCATGTTCAATTCTCTCATTTTCATTTTCTACTTCATGTTTCATTCTCTCCTTTTCTGTTTCTACTTCATGTTCCTTCCTCTAACTTTTAATTTCTACTTTATGTTCCATTATAATACTCAGTTTCTACTACATGGTCCTTCCTATCCTTTCACTTTTAGTTTAGTTGCTTCATGTTGCATTCTCTCACTTTCTGTTTTAATTCATGTTCCATTATCTCACTTTCTTTTTCATACGTCATGTTGCATTTTCTCACTTTCTGTTTTTACTTCATGTTCCATCCTTTCACTTTCTGTGTCTGTTCAATGTTCCATTCTCTCACTTTCAGTTTCTACTTCATGTTCCATCCTCTCACTTTCTGTTTTTAATTCATGTTTCATAATCTCACTCTCTGTTTCTATTTCATGTTCCATTCTCTCACTTTCAGATTCTACTACATATTTAATCCTCTCATTTTCTGTTTCTACTTTATTTTCCATCCTTTCATTTTCTGTTTCTACTTCTTGATCCATCCACTCATTTTTTTAATCTTATACATTTGTTCATCTTATCGATCCTATCCTATAAGCCCACACTTCTTAGACATTTCCCTTTGTTTCTGTATTTTGCTCTTGATCGCTTTTTAATCTGTAAACTTTTCACTCTTTATCCTTCCTTTGATGTTTAAACTTTCCGTTCCTTCTTCTTCAAGGTTTACTTTTTTCTTATCGTCTATTCGCAATCTAAAAGCATCCGTCCTTACTCCATACATTCAAACATACAAGTCCTATGCTCCTACAGTACTCCAAACGCTTCTGAGTTTAATGCCCCCCCCTTCATTGTTCACCTTTGCATCCGACATCTTGAAAAAAATTTATACTTTTTCCGTCCCTGATCTTTTTTCTCCATCTACTTAACATTACAGTGTACACACTATATGGTTTTATTATCAGACAAAACCTTCCATACTGTTGTATATTTCTCAATACTCCATATTTGTATGACAAGTTACCCACTGGTTTATCCTAACCTTCCATACTGTTGTATATTTCTCAATACTCCATATTTGTATGACAAGTTACCCCCTGGTTTATCCTAACCTTCCATACTGTTGTATATTTCTCAATACTCCATATTTGTATGACAAGTTACCCCCTGGTTTATCCTAACCTTCCACTCTTCACCGTACACAAAAGATTTCAAAGAACTAGTCATTTAACAGAGTAATGTGATAAACAAACCAGGAATTAGTTCCAGAAACCGATCATATCAATTGGGAGAACTTGTTAGCAGGATAATTACTCCAGGATGAACTGCTCCTAGGTTTTTCTATGTTGATGATTAGAACCCTGATTACTTCAATGTCACAATGCCAATGAATACTTGTTAGTAACTACTTTGTTTAATTACCGGAAGGAACTGCAACAAATGTTTTGTCCCGACGATGAAGCATTCCCTGCAGTATCTCTAGGAATCATTGTTGGAAAATTAATTAACAAAAATAATATTTTTAATAACAATTTACTGTTTCCAAAGAATAAGATGTTTGATGTGAATTGCCGGAAAGATTCTTTGGACTAAATAATAAAATTGGGTCAAAATATCTCATCTCAATATTAGTTGACAACGGGAAGATGGATGTATATGAACCAATCAATGTTTTCCAAATAAGGACGTATCAACTTATCTTGGTTTTGATTAATTACTATGTTCTATGGGGAGAGGTTGGAAAAATATAACACCACCTACGTTTAACATAGTTTTGCACAATGTAGATACACCAGGAACACCCTGTCTTTGTTTACTTAAAAGTGTACGTCAATTTATGGGCGGAACATAAACAAACTCCGAGTATTGTTTAAATTCCTCCTAGAAACTACAGTGCGCTAGTTTTGTATATTATAGAATCTTTGGTTTGACCGTATTATAAAACATGTGTTCGTGAGAAATTATCATTGTTGCATAATTTTTACGGGTTTTATCTGTGAGAAGAGAGTAAATGGTTGTATTGGTTAAACCAATACTCAGGGTTAAGAAGGAAGCTGGTGCAGGTGATATAATCCTGATCCTGAACCCTAGGATTGGGGGCCCGACCTTACTTCCATCTCATCTCATACATTTACATAATTCAACATTCTTCAAATCTTTGATTCTCCTTCCAAGACCTAGACCTAGACACAAGAAGCACTGTTAATCCGATATATATATATGGCCGGTTGATAGTTTTTCCGTTCTGGACTTTCAATCATCAGCTTGTTGAATTCAATATTCCGCCCTGCTTTTAGGATCTCCATTTTATTTATTTTTCTTTAATCGTCTCGTTTCTATATCTTCTTTTTTTAATCCTAGATTCTTTTCTTTTTATCAATCCTCCTCCCTTTTATAAATCATCCGTCCCTGCTCTGAATCCTCTGAACCTGCCCGTGATCCTTCGCATTTCTCTCAATACTCCGTATTCCTCAAGCCCACCAGAATTTATCCAGCATTTCATATTACATTTTCCGAATTGCGGAATTTTCATTAATTTTCGATAAAAATATTTTACTATTAATTAGACTATGAGTCCGTTTAATGTAAAAAAAAATTAGATATCTAACCTTCCTCTTATTTTCCACTTATTGTTTTCATGTCGAAAAATATATAATCGAGACTCTTTTCCAGCCATCCAGCACATCAGTTCGCCACCTTGTACATTCCACTCATGTTATGAAAAATATATTAATTACCAATGGATTATTTTCTTGTTAATGTATAATTTGTTTTAAAGACTGTGTAATGAGATCTACGTTGTAAACCGCAATCCTGCGAATTGTATATCTCGACTGCCACTTTAATATGTTAACATGTTATTATGCAATACATAGTATTTACTTACTATTTTACATTTGCTTGAACTTTAATATTTGAGGTGTTGGTTGTGTTTTCTCCGACGAAGATCAAGTGAATGGAGAGAAGCAGGTTCGCGTATCCGAGGATACTCCAACAGGAACCCAGATATTTGTCATCAAAGCCTTTCCGAGACGTCTCTTCGCAATTCAGTCTCTAGATGGGGTAAGTCTACAAAATAACGACAGTGTGTCCCAGTTCACATGACAACATTTATTTCATATAAAATATTGTAGTTTATATGCATACTCAATATCATACATTGGCGATTATATCAATACAATGAAGACGACTTTTTATTAATAATGTTTTGATCCCTAAAAAGCATATTTTTATGTGTCTCTGCTGTTTAAAAGATTGGTGGAAATCAAAAATGAAATATAAAGTCGTCTTCATTGTATTGACATATGCTACGTACTATAATTCTCATATTTAGTGGATAACACTGAACTTTATAGTACTTAAAGATGATATTCTGCTATTGAAAACATTTCACACAAAAACACATTTATGATGAAAATCTGACTATCTATCAATCTTCAATATTACTTCAATCGATGATTTACTTTTCTTTCCTCCATATTGTTTCAGGACAAACGGAAGAAATATATTTTTTGTTGCGTGTACAAATAAGCTGAATATATGAACAGTGGTGACCAGAAAACTGTGGAATGATTGTCGCCATTCCCCTTTCTTTTAATTTTAAAACTTGTAATTAAATTTAAGATGTAAAATTTTCTAAAAATTGTTTTTGGCAATAAAGCATGCAGTTACAAATTACAATATTCTTAGCGACATTTTATGATAAAAGAAGAAAGAATACGACAATAACTCCACTGTTTTCTGATTACCACTGTGCTCTATGACATAGAGAAAACAGGGCAGAAGGTATTTCAGTCATGAGCTTATTGAATATTATTGTATTCTGGGTCTGGTCTATCTTGTTTTATTCTGTCCTGGCACACATTATTATATTTTGGGTCTGGTCCATATTATTGTATTCTGGGTCTGGTCTATCTTGTTTTATTCTGTCCTGGCACACATTATTATATTTTGGGTCTGGTCCGTATTATTGTATTATTATATTTTGGGTCTTGTCTACACTATTCCTTAATCCCTTAAATCGTGAAAACGAGTAGTGAACCTCAAGAATGAAAAGTATTGTTAATTTAAATATTACTGGAAGAAGATTCACGTCGTTATACACCAACGGATGCATTTAAGCACGCAAGTACCGTACTGAGTATCAGGAATAGGGTTGATTGAGAAGATTAGCAAAACTGAGCTCTTGGTTTCCGTGCTAGGAAGCTGTGTGTGTGTGGGGATTTAACTAATTTATTGAGGATTTTAGATGATACTTTGGTGCTATGGGAATCCCAGGGGGGTAAAAATTACACTTCCCCGAAAACAAATTAAAAATAGTTTCTAAAAATTCCGGGCACGCCACCATACTTTAGCAAACTTTAGAATATAATGGAACGTGGGATTAAGATCTAAAAAGGAGATGTGTGGGGGAGGAATGATGTGATTTTTATAAAAACATGGGAAAATAAAACGTGAATTTTTAAACGACATATGGAGGATTGGAAAACTAAATTTGTGCTTACATGACAAGCTTTAAGACGCGTGCTAAGAGAATATAGAGTTAACCTTGGGTTCGTCCCGGATCATTGGATTCAAGACTTCACGGAGTCAGGTGAACCATGCTCCGTGAGAAATTATGAAAATAAGTTCTTCCGCTCCATTAAATAGTAATTGTAATTAATCCCATTAATTATTATTTACTCAACACAATCAAACTAATTTATTGGTTCACTCCCCTTATGTTTAATTCTTCATGTTCACTTCTTCTTCACTTCTTCATGTTTACTTCGACATGTTTACTTCTTCATGTTTACTTCTTCATGTTCACTTCTTCTTGTTTACTTCTTCATGTTTACTTCTCCATGTCTACTTCTTCATGTCTACTTCTTCATGTTTACTTCTTCATTTTTACTTCTTCATGTTCACTTCTTCTTTTATTATTCTTCATGTTTACTTCTTCATGTTCACTTTTTCATGTTTACTTCTTCTTGTTCACTTCTTTATGTTTAATTTTTCATGTTTACTTCTTCATGTTCACTTCTTGCTGTTCACTTCTTCATGTTTACTTCTTCATGTTTACTTCTTCATGTTCACTTCTTGCTGTTCACTTCTTCATGTTCACTTCTTTATGCTCACTTCTTCATGTTAACTTCTTCATGTTTACCTCTTCGTGCTCACTTCTTCATGTTTACTTCTTCATGTTCACTTCTTTATGCTCACTTCTTCATGTTAACTTCTTCATGTTTACTTCTTCATGTTCACTTCTCCATGTTTACCTCTTAATGATCACTTGTTCGTGTTTACTTCTTCATGTTTACTTCTTCATGTTCACTTCTTCATGTTTACTTCTCCATGCTTACTTCTTCGTGTTTACTTCTTCATGTTCAATTCTTCATGTTAACTTCTTCATGTTCACTTCTTGCTGTTCACTTCTTCATGTTCACTTCTTTATGCTCACTTCTTCATGTTAACTTCTTCATGTTTACTTCTTCTTGTTTACTTCTTCATGTTTGCTTCTTCATGTTTACTTCTTCATGTTTACTTCTTCATGTTCACTTCTTGCTGTTCACTTCTTCATGTTCACTTCTTTATGCTCACTTCTTCATGTTAACTTCTTCATGTTTACCTCTTCATGCTCACTTCTTCATGTTTACTTCTTCATGTTCACTTCTTCATGTTCACTTCTTAATTTTTTTCTGCTTTTTCTATTCACTTAATTCTAAATGTTTAAATTGTTTAAATTTATAAGGGATTGAGTCTTTTGGAACAAAATCAAATATTTAAACCTCAATATCTTTAGAACTCGATGTTGTAAACCTTTAATATTTTAAACTCAGATTATTCGATCTAACAGAATTCATAGTTTGAAATATCAGAGGTCGGCAACCTTTGGTTCCAAAGATATAGTGATTAAAAAATCAGAGTTTGTGGCAAAGACTCAATTCCTTTACTTCGAAATATTCACTTCTTCGTATACACTTCTAGAACTGAGAACTTATTCAAGAAATGAGAGATGACTTTACACAAGCCTAAAGGAAAAATGAGGGAAGGGGAGGAAGAGGGAGGGAGTGAAGAAAGATGTGTAAGAGAGGGGAGGGAAGGTGGGTTGAACTGCTTCGTGGTCAGAGTATGCAAATATATGTATTAGTTTATGGAATAATAAACCCATTAACTGTGCACAGGCAAACATTTATATTTACATATATAGTTCGCGGGGGATTTCAAGCTAAACATCTTAACATAATGTTTATAAGCTGTAGAAAATCAAGAAATAATGTTTAAAATTTGTAGAAAATCGAAAAATAATGTTTTAATCTACATCACATCATGAATTAATGTTTATTATCTGCATAAAATCATGAAATAATGTTTATGTGGAAACATACAATGAAGAAATAATGTTTTGTATATTTCATGTTTTCTTCATGAAAATCCAGTCTAATGAGTAATGTCTAGTTCATGACAAAATTAGGCCGAGGTTAAGGCAGTAAATGTTAAGCCCTGAGAGATAAAACCCGGGGATTTTCTTTCTATATTCTGGTATTTACACCATATATATATATATATATATAAACATGAAAGAAATGTGAGAGTAGATATTAGGATATAATATGTTTGATGATTGGGCGGAATTTGTGAAGATAGTCCGGGCATATCCTAAATCGGAGAGAGAGAGAATTCTAAATCCTAGCTCGGGGTTACTAGGACATATTACCATCCATATACATATATTCACATTATGCAACAGCATTGGAGACTGTAACGTACACTGGCACGCCATCGTAACAACACATTATAGTATTTATCTGTTAAATCAGATCAAGGGGAAAACATATTGAAATGTAATGATTATAAAACAGAAAAACGGGATAAAACATTTATTAGACATAAGATGGTTTAACACTCGCCACAAACCCTATCGTTATATTTCAAAACAAGAATTCTATTCGACAAAAAAGTCTGATATTCACCATCAGATTGCAAATATGTGGGGATAAGAAAGCTTGAGTTTAAGGGAAGAGAATTGAGTCTTTGCCGCAAACTCAAATTTTCTAATCCTTATAACTTTGCAACCATAGGGTGTGAAACTTTGATATTTCAAACTTTGACTATTTTATCTAACAAAAATCATAGTTTGAAATATTTAAGGTCTACGAAATTGGGTTGCCAAGATATATGGATTAGAAAATCAGAGTTAGTGGCAAAGACTCAGTTTCTTTAGTTCCATTGCGAATTTAAATTGGTTCATATTGTTTTAGGTGTTATTTACTATTACAGATATGAATAGGATATGGGTTACAGTAACATTCATGTACCACAGTAGTTATTTATCTAAAGTTATGTATACAGAAGTATCGATAAATATAGATCTAGTATACATAAATCTACTTTCTACAGGTTTAAACTGTAGACGTAATTTCAAGTGAACATTTTTTACGGGAAAATTAATATTATGGAAGGAGAGAGAATGAAAAGATGTCAGAAACCTAATTATAGAATCTAACATAATATTCAAACACCTACTTAGCGAGGAGAATTGTGAAAGGACGCATACTATCCTGCAGCATGCCTATACTTGGCTCTCTAGCCTTGAAAAAATCAAGAAGATTTAATAATTAGATACTGAGAAAATATTGAGAATTTTGTTCCTTATAACTCGGGACGGATCTTGCTGAGAAGAATCTCCGCCTACGGAGAAGCAGTTCTCTCCATATACACTATACCCTGTCTTCTCACAGTCGGGGCCTTCAATCCGTACTCATATACACTCCGGATACAATACAGGGCACACCCTTGAAATTAGAGTCTTACAATCAGACTCATCTTGAAATTATACCATGAGAATGGATAAACCCTTCTCCAGGTATTTACGTGAGTATTGAAGTTAAAGTTTATGGTTCAGAAATATCATCTCTTGAACAATCCTCTTGCCTTTATGTTTTTTGTTCCACAAGGGGATGATAGAGAGATAAATAGATAATCAGATTAAACTGTGTGCTTTATGTTTTTCCTTTTTTTACTTTTTATCATTTTTAAGAATTAGGGGTGAAATATTCTTACAACCTCTATTTTGGAAGGTTTTTAAATAATTCCTTCTGAACTATTTGTTTTTTGTTTTTTTTTAAGAAGTTACTTATTTACTTACGTACAACTTATATGTAGTGTACAGTGTACATTAAATGTTATAACCTCATTCCTATATATTTTATCATCTAACTACAATATTCTAGTTTAATATGTTTATATAGTTCTTTTAATATATATAATGTATCTTGAACTAATTTTCTAAATTTTACTAGTATATGATTTATATAACTATTAATTTAATTATTTCTAGTCCCGAACGGATGGATTCTTCACTTTTGAGGAGATCGACCACAGACATGTTGGGATCGTCCTAGCTCGATCCTTACAGGATCTCACAGACCAGAGTTCACCAGTCTCAGATATCAGGTTTAAAGTTTATAGAAATTGAAAATTTCACTAAAAATGGCTTTTTAGTTTACGATTCACAAATATACCATTTTTTTAACGCATTTCCTGTAAAAATCCACGAGTCATTAATTACAAAAACGTTTGAAAAGGACTTGAAACGGGCGCGGCCGTGTAAATTGTAAATAATATCCTTTAATGATCATTTAAAACTACGTGATCAGTCCCATCTTAATTCTTGATAAAATAAGGTTAAAAAATAATATTCTCCTCTTAATCCTTTTAATTTTAGTACTCACAAAAACCAAAAGATGAAACTCCAAATGAATTTAAAACATTTCATAACTTGACCTTAATTCCAACCTAGAACTCTAACGGATTCTCAAAATATGCCTTAAAACAAATTTAACATGAACTTTAACCGAGCCAAATCCAATTCTAAACCTTGTATTTAATAAACCTCATTCTAAACCTTGTACTTTATAAACATCATTCTAAACCTTGTATTTAATAAACATCATTCTAAACCGTGTATTTAATGAACATAATTCTAAACCTTGTATATAATAAACCTCATTCTAAACCTTGTATTTAATAAACATCATTCTAAACCTTGTGTTTAATAAACCTCATTCTAAACCTTGTATTTAATAAACCTCATTCTAAACCTTGTGTTTAATAAACCTCATTCTAAACCTTGTATTTAATAAACCTCATTCTAAAACTTGTATTTAATAACCCCATTCTAAACCTTGTATTTAATAAACATCAAACTAAACCTTGTATTTAATAAACCTCATTCTAAACCTTGTACTTAATAAACCTCATTCTTAACCTTGTATTTTATAAACCTCATACTAAACCTTGTATTTAATAAACCTCATTATTAACCTTGTATTTAATAAACCTCATTCTAAACTTTGTATTTAATAAACCTCATTCTAAACCTTGTATTTAATAAACTTCATTCAAAACCTTGTATTTAATAAACTTCATTCTAAACCTTGTATTTAAGAAACCTCATTCTAAACCTTGTATTTAATAAACCTCATTCTAAACCTTGTATTTAATAAACCTCATTCAAACCTTGTATGTGATAAAAAATATGAATGTAAATTGTTTATTGCATATCGAGGATGCAACTTTGCTTCTTGTAAGGTTCGGGGCTAGATAATTAAACATCATCAAGTTGATAAAGAATTTTTGTACATTCGGTTCTTTAAACAAATTCTTTACTTCCTAAACCTAACCAGAGCATGATTATAACCTTAATCTAAATCTAAACCTTAGATTACACACACCGAAATAAGTCTACATTCATCTTTGCCTGGATGGACACCTAAACCATATTAATCCTTGATGGACAACTAAACCATATTAATCCTTGATGGACAACTAAACCAAACTAAACCTGGATGGACACCTAAACCATATTAATCCTAGATGGACAACTAAACCATATTAATCCTTGATGGACACCTGAACCATATTAATCCTTGATGGAAAACTAAACCAATATAAAGTTGGACGGACAACTAAACCATATTAATCCTTGATGGACAACTAAACCAAACTAAACCAGGATGGACACCTTAACCATTTTAATCCTTGATGAACAACTAAACCAAACTAAACCAGGATGGACACCTTAACCATATTAATCCTTGATGGACAACTAAACAAAACTAAACTTGGATGGAAACCTTAACCAAACTAAACCTGTGTGTACGCCTACAACGAAACTAAACCGGGCTGGAAACCTAAGCCGAAACTAAACCTAATCCTAAACTTATATCTAAAAGTTATCCTCTAAACCTAAACATGCATTTTAAACTTTAACCGAGGTGTAAAACTTCAAGCTTTGAATCTAAACTTGAACCTAAAAACTCTAAACCTAAAATAAATCCAAATCTTTGAGTACAAGCTGAGACTGAATTATATTTAGATTCCGATTAGCTTGCCGAGGACGGGACCAGGAGACCTCGTATCTTCCTGTAACAATCTTTATCCAGGATATTAACGACCATCCTCCTGTTTTTCAAGCAGACGGTGAGTTTTATAAAAAAAAACTTTTACAAAATGTCGGCCCATGATTTCTTTCTTTTAGTTAATTTTCTTATCCCTATATCTTTGCAACCTGATGGTGTAAACCTGTGATTTAAAATATCTAAGGTCTACGACATTGGAATGCAAAGATATAGAGTTTAGGAAATATGACTTTGACTGGATTTAAAGAGTTTTAAGAGAAAATCACGCAGAATTTTTGCACGAAAAAAAATTTGTCTAAATTCCATTCGTCTGGGCCAAGATTCACTTACTTACTACTAATTTTCTTTCATTCATTTTCTTAACTAGTTATCACAACATAAACAAAATCAATTAGCTAGAAGAGATATAAGAACACAAAATCGTACCAGTAATTTAGCATTGATTCGACCTTTGGAGTGTATAATTCACAGCAATAATAGAAAAGGCCAAACGTCCCTTTAAAATAAATTCTTAGAAACAAAGGAATGTTGGAATGTTTTATAAAGATATTTTTCATCCATATACAGAATTAAGGAATGGGTTGTTTTTGTATTTTTGGTATTCGGGTGAGTTTAGCTTCACAGAGAACTCAGGGTGGTATAATTATGTGAACTCTTATGCTTTACGTTTTTCGAACACAATTCCAGTAAAAGAAAAAAATTCCGGTTTTTAGTATCAAAGTTTTTATAATAATCTAATGTATCCCAATTATGTTGTAAATCTAAAACCAAAAATGTATCTTTTTACGTGACTATTTAGTCCCATCTCATTTGTTTAAAGAACAAATCATGGAATCTGATCTTTTTGAATATAAATCTTGATTTTACTCTTCTTCATCCTTCGTCCCATATCTTTAATCACTGATTTACTGATACCAGAATCTTACATATTTTGTTTATCATCTAATTTCAAAGATTCTTAAACCTCTATTGTCTGATATTGTGTTCATATCGGATGTCTATCTATGAAGGTTATAAATATATTAGATGTTTAGTGTTGTGTTTAAAAGTATAAATATTGTTAGTTTTATGTTATTGTCTATCCATTACTTGTCTATGCGCGTTAGTGTTTGTATATGTTTATACGTTTGTTCTGTACGTCTGTCTATGTATTACTTTTTTCCTTTCAATCTCAATACTCTATGTATTTATTTGCCTATTTATTTTCAGAGTACGTTTTTAATCTTTATGATATGAGTTACTTTATCTAGTTCTCTGTTTGTGAAGTCTATCTGTCCATGCTAGTCTATTTATGTCATTCTCTATGCTCCTGTATGTATGTAAATATATCTCTATGCTGCTGTATGTATGTAAATATATCTCTATGCTGCTGTGTATGTAAATCTATCTCTATGCTACTATATTTATGTATATCTATCTCAATGCTGCTATATGTATGTATATCTATCTCAATGCTGCTATATGTATGTATATCTATCTCAATGTTGCTATATGAATGTATATATATCTCAACGCTGCTATATGTATGTATATCTATCTCAATGCTGCTGTATGTATGTATATCTATCTCAATGCTGCTGTATGTATGTATATCTATCTCAATGCTGCTACATGTATGTATATCTATCTCAATGCTGCTATATGAATGTATATCTATCTCAATGCTGATGTATGTATGTATATCTATTTCAATGCTGCTGTATGTATTATATTTATCTCAATGCTGCTGTATGTATATCTATCTCAATGCTGCTATATGTATGTATATCTATCTCAATGCTGCTATATGAATGTATATCTATCTCAATGCTGCCGTATGTATGTATATCTATCTCAATGCTGCTGTATGTATGTATATCTATCTCAATGCTGCTATATGTATGTATATCTATCTCAATGCTGCTATATGAATGTATATCTATCTCTGCTATATGTATGTATATCTATCTCAATGCTGCTGTATGTATGTATATCTATCTCAATGCTGCTATATGTATGTATATCTATCTCAATGCTGCTATATGAATGTATATCTATCTCTATACCCTGCATGTAAGCTAAGTATCTCTGTGTTTAGTTCTAAAACACATTATTTTATGATTACCCTTCAGTGATTAATCTATCTATTCATCCATCTATCCTTGATACTGGTTGATTAATGACGTATTGTATTTGTAGGTTTATAAACACTACTGTATGAACAGAAAATATCCCTTCCCCCTTTACATTCAACTCCCCACACTCTTCTTTAGAAATAAGCTAGCTACACCCTTCAGCACGAACAGTTTGGATTTAGATTTAGATAATGTTGAACATTTCAAGTTTAAACTTTTAGTCCTTATTTGAAATCTCTCTTTTCAATTCGTTTCGAGGTTTTATGTACCCTTTATTCTTTGCTTTTTATGCTTGTGATATTTTTTGATCTTTTTTCTTCTTCTCTGTGCTTCCTTCATCAGTTCTCCTAATCATATTTAAACTGTCTTATTCCTGTTTTGATTTATTTTTTCGCCATCTCCTCTCATTTGTTCAGCTTTCACTTTTCTTCTTCTTGCAAATCTTTATTACTCTTAATATTCTATTCTTCCTTTTATCTTCTTTGTTTTCTCCTTGAATTATCTGTTTATACTTAAAGGACGTAAACCCTCCATTAATTTCTACAAAAGAGCCTTGTGCATTTCTTTCTTTTTCTTTGTTTTTCTTTCTTTTAACTTAAAGCTTTCTTCTCCTCTTACATAAATCTGATGTTATTTCTCCTTGAGCTCTTTTCTTTTTGAACCTTTGATCAAGATTTAATTTGTTTATCGAAATATTATTTTCTCGTTCTCCTCCTAGTTTAATACTTTTGAATAGCTTGACGAAAAATATTTTTGAGATGTATGTAAACACTGCCTTTTCTAATTTATTGATAAGGTTTTCAATCACATCAAATATAAATACATAGGCCTTTTTTATATGTGCATTCAAGTTTCAAACCTTCTTCAACTCTCTCCATATTTGGTCATACTATGAGTATTTAGCCTTTATCAATCCCTTCCCAACAAACGTGAGAAGAACCCTGTATAGGAGACACACGTATAATTGATCCCGTAGCTCCATCACATGTTGGTTATTCAACCTAATCCCTGAGTTATTTACATGATCAGATATCCGCCCCAAGCTTATCATTTCTGCCCTCTTCCCCATACACCACCTGAATAAGGCCACAGTATAAATATGTTTTATAAAATCTTTAGTAAAATAACCTACATTTATCTCTTTATCTACAACATAACATATGAAATAAGAAAAGAATTTCTCAACACAAAAATTTAATTTTTATTTTCATCGCTTCAACATTATATTTTATATTATTTAGATACTTTGCATACAAATTTCACAGTGATCCAACGGTTGCAAGCTCTCACGTAAAAATATTTGATAACTTTGCTGATACCCAAAGGCCAAGGCTTTACGACAATTAAAAGTCGACCCGGTTTTGAAAAACTTTGCAACTTTTCACATCAGTCTGGATCTATGTGGTTTATACTTAATATATATCTTTACCTTTAACTTATCTAATATATTTTATAGTATTATCTCTTTATCTTATATAAACCTTGTTTAGGATACAATGTAACTATTGAAGAAAATACTCCTGTTGGATTAACAGTGTTTAGGGGTATTCACGCTATAGACAGGTCATTCTTTCATTCATTAAAATTATTAAAAAAAAAAGTTTAATGATAACATTAGCAAATTATAAAATCAAAAAGGATAAAACCAAAAAGTCAGATTATAAAATTGTTAATTTCAGGGATCAACCCAATACTCCGAACTCCTTCATTAGTTATTCTATTCTCTCCGGGAACGAAGATAAGAAGTTCTCTTTGGAAGGTTCCGGAAAGGCTGTCCTGGTTCTCCGGAAGAAACTTGATTTTGAACAAGGAGATACGTTCTTCAATCTTACAGTAGTTGCAGAGGTAATCTTACTTTTCAACAGACATTTGAAAACTTGGAATAATGTGTAAGAAGGAATAGATAAAGGAAATGGGATTGAGGGGAAGGGATGTGGGATGGAGGAGGTAGGAGGGATTGAGTAGGAGGGAGAAGGGATTGAGCGAGGATAAGTAAGAAGCAAGTAGGGAGCTAGGGAAAAAAGGGATTAATTAGGAAAGGGAGGAGTGAGAAAGGAAAGGTGAGGGGCTCATATGGAGGTTGAGGAAGGAGGAAGAAGGATGGAGGGAAGAGAAAATGTGGAAGATGCAGGGAGGGAGCTGGGGGGATTGAGGAAAAAGAAATATGGGATGGAGGTTGGAAGAAAAAATTAGTTAAGAACGAGGTAAATTTGGAGGAGGAGAAGAGAGAGAAAGGGGGAACAGATAGAAAGAATATGGTAGAAAGGGAAGAAAGAGAGAACAGATAGATAGAGAAGAAAATGGAAGGAAGGGAAGAAAGAGAGAACAGATAGATAGAGAAGAAAATGGAAGGAAGGGAAGAAAGGGGGAACAGATAGAGATAATATGGTAGGAAGGGAAGAAAGAGAGAACAGATAGATAGAGAAGAAAATGATAGGAAGGGAAGAAAGGGGGAACAGATAGATAGAGAAGAAGATTGTAGGAAGGGCCGGAAGAAAGGTGGAACAGATAGATAGAGAAGAAGATGGTAGGAAGGGAAGAAAGAGAGAAGATAACGCTTGAAGAAAGTTAGAGAAAATGGGAAAGTATCAAGGATAATGTTTTATTGTTGACTATACAATGTTCCAATACATATATCACGATTTTCATATTTCCTGTAATATACTAGATGCATAGATTATAGAGATAAGGCAAAAGAGTTATTTTTATCATTTTTGTTACATTATAACTTCTTAACGAATACACTTTCTCACCAAACTCAATTTGTATAAACAAGTTTTTTTTGAGGTCTCTAGAATCGGGAAAATTTTAAAGTCTAAAAAGGTAACATAAGCAAATGAAAATTCATAATAAAAATTATATATGATGATAGTTAGTGATTTAATAAATAGAGAGACATAGTTAAACCTCTTTTTTTGTACGCTGGGTCAAACTAAAAAGAACTAAATCTATCTCTCGTCATTTCTCTTTATTCTTTGACAATACATCCCTAAGAGTTTTAATAGCAGGAATAAAAAAGTAAATGTGCGGGATATTAGTTTCTGTGCAAACAATCGTATTGCAAAGAATTCAATCATTTCTCAAATATATATTTCTGAGTGAACTATGTACATAGATATTTCCAGCTTACATCCTCTGCTCATGATAAATGATGGAGAAAAATCCTAGTGCAATTATATCTGACATGCGGTATATTTCAGGATGCTGGAGTTCCTCCTCTCTCCTCAACCTCGTCCTTGCTCATCACAGTACGGGATGTAGACGACAGAAACCCGATCTTCTCCAAGTCCCTTTACAAGCTCCAGATTAAGGAAGATTATCCTCTGACTGGAACTACGGAGCTAAGACTATTGGAAACAACTCCTCCGATCTATGCAGAAGATCAGGATACATCCATTAAAGCTGAGCTCCAGTATGGAATAACAGGAGGGAACGAGATGAAATATTTCCATATAGACAAGGATTCAGGACAGTTGTATCTAACCCGGGAGCTAGACCGAGAGCAGCTTGAGTCTGGTAAATTCTTTCTTGATATCTCAGCTTGGCAGAAGGATAACGAAGTGAAGGCTGCCACATCTGCGGTGGAGATTGACGTCTTAGATGTGAACGACAACAAACCTGAGTTTCAGGTCGAGAAATATAATATGACGGTCATTGAGAACCTTCCCGCTGGTTTTCGAATCATGCAGTTTACCGCAACTGATCGGGATCAACCAGAGAACGCCGTGTTCCACTATGCACTTGAGGACCCATCTGGAGCATTTCTTTTAGATTCGGAGGGAAGTCTGATTCTTGAGAAACCAGATCTTTTCGACCGTGAGAAATATGAGAATATCGTGGTCCGTGTTCTCGCAATAGAGGATTCTCCGTCCGTCCTACCTAACTCCGAACCTTTCAGTGTTGAGGTCGATATCCATCTCCTTGATTATAACGACAACAGCCCTGTATTCTTACCAAATAATGTCTACTTGTTCCTGGTTCCTGTTGGAGCACAGGTTGGAGCTAAAGTTGGTCAGGTTCAAGCTGAAGACCTTGATCAGGGTACTAACGGATATATCAAGTATAAAATCAGGAACAGTACTGAATCTCTTCCCATCTCTTTGGATCCTCTCTCCGGGGAGATCTTCCTTACACAGCTATTCACTCAGTCAAGAAAGTGAGTAAACATTCTAAATATTAATATTCACAAAGCATATTTTTGCACAGCAGTAATTTATTAACCGAGCAGGTTCACGTTCTAAATGGTCTTTATAAATAGAAGAGTATTAGTTTTCCTTGTATCTTGGAATACAGTTTTAATATACAGATCATGTATCCCGGGATACAGGATCCTAGAAGACAGGGTTATATTCAAATCTTTTACCTTGGATACAAGTTTATATACAGATCATGTATCCCGGGATACAGGGTTATATACAGATCTTGTATCCTAGGATACAGGTTTATATACAGATCATATATCCCAGGATGCAGGTTTCTATACAGATCTTGTATCCCGGGATACAGGTTTTTATACAGATATTGTACCATGGGATACAGGTTTCTATACAGATCTTGTATCCCGGGATACAGATTTGTATACAGATCTTGTATCTTGGGATACAGAGTTCCATACGGATTGTGTGTCCTTGGATACAGGTTTATATAAGATCCTGTATCCTGGGATTTAGGTTTGTTTACAGATCTTGTATCCTTAAATACAGGTTTCTATACAGGTCTTGTATCCTGGTATACAGGTTTCTACACAGATCTTGTATCCCGTGATACAGGTTTGTCCTAGGATACAGGTTATATTATTTTTAATTAAGGTTTGTACCCTCATGTTTTAGAGTTGGATATAATTTTGTATCTATAAACGTGTATATTGATTCTGTCTCCGGTTGCTGTGTTTGATCTAAAGGATAAACTCCGTCATGTTTAGAAAATCCAGGAAATCAATTGATCACTTTACTCAACCAAGGTTGAAACCATTCTAGCCACAGGACGGGGGACTGGGATACAAGATATGATATTCTAATGAACGGGATGGAAGGGAGCTGGTGATAAAGAGTTTGAAAGGGGAGAGATTCTTCTAAGAACGGGACGGGGAAGTTTAAGGAAACTAAAGAATTGAAGAAAAGTGGAGAAGTTTGAATTCTATTTCTTATTAAAGTTACTCTTAGACAATCGTTCTCTATTTCATAAAACATATTCAGTCAACCTTACAACCAGATATTTCGTCTCCAACAGAGAAAGGGGGAACAGATAGAAAGAATATGGTAGAAAGGGAAGAAAGAGAGAACAGATAGATAGAGAAGAAAATGGAAGGAAGGGAAGAAAGAGACCCCCCCCCCTCCACACCCTTTACAGCAAACCTGGTACCTTGTTTAACCTTAATTATTCCCCCCCCCCCTCCACACCCTTTACAGCAAACATACTTTATTATTATTGTTAGTGCAACCATTTGAAATACTATCATAATAAATGGTTTAATGATGACAAGCTTTAGGTTTTTTACACAGTTAAGCTAACTGGAGGTTTATTTACATACAAAGTTTTCTCCATCCTTAGAAAAGATCATGTAGGGTAGAAACACTGCAATTCAGAGTTTTTTGTTTGTTGACGGAATGGTTTAACCTCTGTTCAATAAATCTGACGAACCCTGTGATTATTCAAAGGTTAAGCTACCCAGAGAAAACCTTACCTTGCAGGCTCTAGGTCCAGAGGCAATCCTTCTATTCATCAGGTTGAATAAACCAGACAAAACAGTAATCACTCCGCGATTGTGTTGGTTTCATACCTCAACCTCACACCCAGGTTCACTCTTGATGAAAAGAACATTATTATACTTCCTCTATTATTCTTACTTTTACTTTTTTAACCAACCATCTTTCTCTTCCTCTATCCAAATCTTTTGTATTAAAATTCACTTCATTACTTCAATTCTTGACTTTCTTATCTCTACTCTACAACAGTACTTCTTCTTTTCAATTCGTAACTTCCTAATCTCTACTCTTCAACCTTACTTCCCCTTTAAATCTCTATTCTATAACAGTACTTCTTCTTTTCAATTCTTAACCCTATCCCCGCTGGGGTACTTGAAAACCAGGATACGCGGGGGAGGGGGTCAATTTGACCCCCCCTCTAAATCCCATGTTTTATGTCCAAATATGACAAATGATACATCATTAGAAAGCTCTTGTGCTCTACTTTTAGAACTACAATCCTACTTCTCCACTTCACTTTTTAACTTTCTAATCTCTACTCTATAACAGTACTTCTACCCTTCAATTCTTAACTTCATATTTTCTACTTTACACGCCTAATTCTCCCCTTCAATCCTTAACTTCATAATCTCTACTTTACTATTCTAATTCTCCTCAATTAAATCCCTAACTTCCTAATCTCTACTCTACAACCCTACTTAACTTCTCTACATTATCTAAACTTTTTAACATCTAGTGTGCAATTCCACTTCTCCCTTCAATTCTTAACTTCCTAATCTCTAATCTACAACCCCACTTCTTCTCTTCAATTCTAAACCATATAACATACGCCTACTCTTATTACATCTTGTAGCTTTGAAGCTGTTGTCGCGTGTGAGGGTTTATCAGCTTCTTCTGAGAAGAGAAACAATCAACTTGAGGATATACAGTGCAACCAAACTCTAGGAAGCATTTGGGTGGTTTCAGGAACTCCCAGACTTTTCTTGGAGTCACAACTCTAATTAACATTGTAAAAACTGGATTTTTTTCTTGTGATCACTCAGGCAATAATCTTAAAATTATTAGTTTTTTATCCACTTTTTTAAGGTTGAGTTTCTTTGTTGAAGCTGTTGATCTTCCAGAGAATGAGGAGGAAAGAAAATCTGCAGTTGCAGTTGTAGAACTCCAGGTACATATTAAAACAGGAGTACAGAGAACTCCAGTTACAGAAAAAGAAACAGTAGTAGAACTCCAAGTTGTAGTAACAGTAGTTTAACTCTGGGTGTTACGGTGGGACCCAGAAACTGTAAATTGTACATTGTGTCTTTATGTGGGTATAAAGCAAAAAGTTTCGAAAGTCTGTGTAAACTGCACAACTTTTGTAATTCTTGTTTATTGGACTACTCAAAACGAAAACTTGATTCAAAAATCAGTCGTATTCCTCCTATTCCTATTTGTAATAGAATTATTGTAAACATAATGTAAGGTAAGAGCAATCAAAATATTTAGATAGAGCCAGGATTGATCTTTCATCAATTCAATTTTAAATATGCATACATCCTGAATTTCATAGTATTATGTTTCTTAGCATAACCTTCGATCGTTCTTTCGATGAGAAGATTGAAATTAAATTAGTTTGACTAGGCTAGAGATTATGAGTATATATTGCCTGAAGGGGAAACCAAGTTGTCTAAATCAATCAAGATTCTCCGTTTTCAAAGAATATTCTTTAAACATGAATTATTTTTTGTTTGACTATTGTACTGTCCAAACTTTCCTTTTGATTGGAATGGAATATTATCAATTGTATTTTGCCTCTGATATGGACATGGTCCGGTATACTTTGTTCAGTAGTATTCAGAAGATGGTGTATGGTATAAGGTACCCGGTATACGGTATACGGTATACGGTATACGGTATACGGTTTACGGTATACGGTATACCGTATACCGTTTATGGTATATGGTATACTGTATATGGTATATGGTTTACGGTATACGGTATACGGTATACGATATATGGTATATGGTATACGGTATACTGTGTACGGTATATGGTTTACGGTATACGGTGTACGGTATACTGTACATGCTATATAGTATGCATTAAGAGCTTTATGGTATAAGGTATACAGTTAAGATGAAATTAACGGATAATTCTCAGCTAAGCTTTCCTGATGTTTGTTTCTTTACTCGTTTTAATTCCAGTATCTCTTGTAGATCTTAATAAGGAATAAATTACAAGGATCCAACCTTAAAGGAATTCAGGGGTAAACTTATTGTTTTAATTTAGTAAATCTAGTTCTAGTTTAGTAGATCTATTTCTAGTTTAGTAGATATAGTTCTAGTTTAGTAGATATAATTCTAGTTTAGTAGATATAGTTCTAGTTTAGTAGATATAGTTCTAGTTTAGTAGATATACTTCTAGTTTAGTAGATATAGTTTAGTAGATCTAGTTTAAGTTTAGTAGATATAGTTCTAGCTTAGTTTCTAGTTTAGTAGATATAGTTCTAGTTTAGTAGATATAGTTCTAGTTTAGTAGATATAGTTCTAGTTTAGTAGATATAGTTCTAGTTTAGTAGATATAGTTCTAGTTTAGTAGAGGTTCCACAATCTACATATCTGTACCATAGTGAATACAGGACACTCAATAATGTTGGAAAACCCCTGTTGAGTTGAAACCGACGTTGATCACGCAAATTCAAGTAAATCCCGCGGATCCTACGCAGCACGCTACGCTACGCAAATATGCGTAATCTTCATCAGGCTGGGGGGTCAAGGGTTGGAGGGGGAGTGGGCGTAACTATCTCTCTGTGGATCTTTTTATATCAGTTTTTGGCGTTTACTACATATGTGTAATTTATATAATGGCAGTCTGTCTATTACACCATTGCATAACTTGTCTGCCTACGTAAAGCCTATAGACTCAAGAATCCGATGTTATTATTTACTTACTTTTATGAGACTGGTGTTTCCAATGCATATATGGTATTTGGGTTGGATGCATGGTGGTATGACAGTAGAAATCTGGAGTGACTCTTGAGTTTCTTAATAGTTCTCAAACCGTTGGAGATGATTGATTGGCGAGGGAGGGAGGAAACTGTCTCAAGGTTCCCCACAGCATCAATCTTATCCAATCCATCTGATTCCCTGCACCTCCTTTACTCTTTTATATTTATCTTCCTTTCTCTTATCTTTGGTTCTTTTTATTTGTAATAATAATGCAATTCGGTCGAGAACTATAAAAGTTCTGAGACCGGTATAAAAGACCTAAATATATCCTCTTTTCTTTTCTTTATTCCTCTCTTCTCTCTTTTCTTTTCTCTCTTCTTGCCTCGTTTCTACTTTTCTTTTCTTTTGTTTCTCCCTCCTATTTTCTTGTTCAGCTTTCTCTTTCTAGATTTTTTGCTCTGAACTCTCTTAAACATTTGTAAGTTTGTGTATTTAGTGAAAGGATATTTGTATGTTTCTATGTTTATTATATTTTTATGTTTAGTGACCAGATCTTTATATGTTTGTATGTTTAGTGGCCAGATATTTGTAAATTAAATGAAGCCAGCTTTGTAAGTTTAGTTGCCTGATATGTGTATGTTTGTATGTCAAGTGACAGGATATTTGTATGTTTGTATGTTTAGTTGCCTGATATTTGTATGTTTGTATGTTTAGTGGCCTGATATTTGTATGTTTTTATGTTTAGTTGACAGATATTTCAAATCGTATGCTTTCATGCTTAGTTGTCTGATATTTGTATGTTTGTATGTTAAGTTGCCTGATATTTGTATGTTTGTATGTTTAGTGGCCTGATATTTGTATGTTTTTATGTTTAGTTGACGGATATTTCAATTTGTATGTTTTCATGCTTTGTTGTCTGATATTTGTATGTTTGTATGTTTAGTGGCCTGATATTTGTATTTTTGTATGTTTAGTGGCCTGATATTTATATGTTTGTATGTTTGGTGGCCTAATATTTGTATGTTTTTATGTTTAGTGGCCTGATATTTGTATGTTTGTATGTTTAGTTGACAGATATTTGTATGTTTAGTGGCCTGATATTTGTATGTTTGTATGTTTAGTGGCCTGATATTTGTATGTTTAGTGGCCTGATATTTGTATGTTTAATGGCCTGATATTTATATGTTTGTATGTTTAGTGGCCTGATATTTGTATGTTTAGTGGCCGGATAATGATGATATTCCCGGGTTCCAAGGGACTCCTTATGAGTGGTGGTTGGATACAGAAGGAGAGTTTGAAGAAGGAATGTATCTTGGAACTGTTCGAACCATGAACCTGGATCCAACCTCGATCAGATACGCCATCAAGCACAATTATAATTCAGAAGGTATAAGGTCTTTTTAAACCCCTCCCGGCATAAAACCAAAATTACTCAATTGGTCCAATCTTGAGAAGATTGTAATGTGTCTCCATATCCGTCCCACATTTACATGGATTGGTTTTAAACCAATTTCAAGTCTGATTTCCATTAAGAAGCGGAAGTGACTTCCAATTTATTCTTGATAAATCGGGCTCAATTCAAACTAATTTCCTGAAATTGTTCAAACTACGCAAATTTCAATTTTTTAGTTCCGTTTGATATTGATGCCGAGACTGGTGTAGTGACTGTATCTGGACTTGAGAACCAGGATTGGAAGAGTAGCTACAACCTGGATATTTTTGTGACGGATTCCAAATCTGAAATCTCAACTCCGCTCATTGTCCGGCTCGGGAAAGGAGAAGCAGATTTTGGGAAGGAGCAGGAGATACCAAAAATGCTGGATTTCTCCGTTCTTGAAAACGCCGAAAGTAAGTTGAATTTTAATCCTTCAAAATTTCGCAAGTAAATGAAGAAGCCGTGCCGTCCGTTTTCAATGTCAATGCAACAATAAAAGGTGTTCTTGCGTGAATTTTGTAGCATAACGAATAATTAGCTATGCACCCGGTTCCAGTTCGTTATGTATCCATGAATCATATGTTAACCCCATGTTGATTATGCTGTTCTAATTTGTATCAAGAAATTCCACAGAGGATGAAAAAGTATAGAGTTGTCAGTATCCGTAATTTTTTATTATGAACTATCATATTTTTTGTACGTCCAAAAAAAAATTTTAACAATTGAGTGTATTTGTTCAATCGGTGACTATTACTGGAAGTTCTAGAATAGTTTTCAATAATTATTAGATAAGTATTGAAATGCACAAAAGAAAAGATATTTCAATAAAAACTCAAAATATTTTTATTGATTTACTGTTTCATTGTTTCATGGTTACACAATCTTTATGATAGTTTAGCAGATTTTTTTTTCTAAAAATATTTACATAAATCCCCGCTAATAGTATTATGGGTTTAATATGAAAGAAAAGAATTGAAATCTGTCGGAATATTCCCAACAAGACAACTTGACAAGGGATAAAGACAACCCTGAGGCAAGTGTGAGGTTTGTTCTAATTAGTTCCCTGAGTTTATGGTTAAAGGTTCCGGGACGAATATCTCCGCCTGATTATCAGGGAGTTATAAAATACTGTAATTAAGGATGGTTGGATCATACAGATCATACCTAGTAAATTAGCACTAATTCATCCTTTCCAATTTTAGAAATTTGGGTTTTTGCAAAAATATTTTTTTCCGCGGTTCTAATCAATGTTGTGGGTTTTCAGCGGTTCTAATCAATGCTGTGGGTTTTCCGCGGTTCTAATCAATGCTGTGGGTCTTCAGCGGTTCTAATCAATGCTGTGGGTTTTCAGCGGTTCTAATCAATGCTGTGGGTTTTCCGCGGTTCTAATCAATGTTTGGGTTTTCCGCGGTTCTAATCAATGCTGTGGGTTTTCAGCGGTTCTAATCAATGCTGTGGGTTTTCAGCGGTTCTAATCAATGCTGTGGGTTTTCAGCGGTTTCAAAATATCATGTTCAAGTTAAACACTAATTCCGATTTGAAAAGAAACTCTTACTTCCACTCTAAACTTTCAATTTCACGGATTAAACCAACTGTTGATAAGATATTTTAACCAGAGGAGAGATAAAAAAAACGTAATCTAATCACATTTTTTGCTTCAAAAAATCAAAAATTTTAAAAAATTTACTTCCAAATTTTTTAGTTTATTTCTATCGATACAATATTAAAAAAAGATGGAGTGAACGAAATACGTTCATTTTTCTTTGTTGCTGTTAAACAAAGAAATTGAGTCTTTGCCACAAACTCCGAATTTCTAAACCGTACATCTTTGCAACCCAATATCGAATACCCGAAATATTTCAAACTATGAATAATGTAAAATCAAAAATCTATGTTTAAAATATCAACGGGTTACACTTTCAGGTTGCTAAGATATAGGGATTAGAAAATTCAAATTTGTGGCAAAGACTCAATTCCTTTCTTTGGTTTATCAACTTATTGTTGTTTTGTCATTTTTTACCAATTTCAAAATTAATACAAAATCATTAAAAAATAGACTTTTGATGCATTAGATCGAGTAAAGTTAAAATTTTTAAGATATGTAAAGTTTGGGACATTAGTTTTAGTTTATTGATTTAAAATTTCATATTTAACCCTTTCTGACCCGATAAATGAATTTTGTTGCCCGGATACAATTTTATATATCTTTATCCAATTAAACAATTATCAAATATTTATTGTGATTAAAATCTAACAATTTTTTTCCAAAAAGGGTTTTATATTATGAAAGCAATTTAAAAGAAAGATTGTTACTAAAGATAATACTATAAATGCTAGGTTCAGGATAAAATCTGTGCTCAAGGTTCGGAAACCCTGTGATCAAGAGTTGACAGTTCTAGTGAATATTGATTATAGTGAACCAACCCTATAATCAGCTGGGAATGACTGGAGCTGGGTTGGCACGACCCATTTCTTATCCGGCCCGCGTGGGTTCCGGAACAAATGAGAAACTATATTCTCAATGAACCTTCTTGCTCAGGCTTAAACTCCGCACCATCATCCTAGATTAGGTTTATATAGATGAGAAGGTTGTATTGTTTCAGGTTTGCTGGTTGCCAATTTATCCTACCTTCTCTCCGACAGAAAGAAGAGCACTGAGCGGCTCATCACAAATGATGATGGAAAAGATAAGTTCTACCTGACAGATGGTGGATTGTTGTATACAAGTGGACCCTTGGATCGTGAAACTAGGGATACATACATGTTCACAGTACTGGTAGGACGGCGAGGTCTACCCAGAGGGTTCAGATCACAGCAAGCTATTCAAGTAAAGGTAGGAGGGAAAAACTATTTTTTTCAGTTTTGTCAAAATATCTTTTTTAACGATCTTACACTATATTCTCCTGTTTTAGGTGAAGGTTGAAGATGTTAACGATAATAATCCAGTGTTTGAACAACACATTTATCAGGGTCATATTCCTGATAACTCGGAGGTGGGAACAGAAGTTCTCTTAGCGAAGAAGATTATTGCTACTGATGCCGATATCCTTGACGCTAAAGGTGTAAAGATTGAAATCTATGGCAAGGATAGTGAGAAGTTCAGGTTTGATGATGGGACCGGAGGAGTTTTTCTGTCGGACGGAGTATTGAGTAGATCCACCAAGGAGGTTTATTATCTGAGGTTGAGAGCTACTGACTCTGCAGGGCAGGTCGGAGAGGGACAACTTGTAATACATGTCACGGACAGGAAGAATCATCAACCAAAATTTCTGAAGCTTCAAGTTCTAGACAGCAGACTTGTATCGGTTGCCAAGGATAAGGTTTGGGTCGGAGACGGAGTTGGAGCTCCAGTTCTTGATATGGCGGAGACAGTTCCCCCGGGGACTCGGATTGCTCGGGTTCTAGCGGAGGATCCAGATACTACCCGTAATAATGGATTGGTTTATAGCCTGGTTTCTGAGGAAGCAACCCATATGGAAGCTAGGAAGAACCTGCCTGCTAAGGACAGATTCTACGTTGAGGAAACGTCGGGAGATATCCTTGTCAAAAGACAGGTTGAAGCGAAGACTAGTTACATTCTCAACATCTCGGCACAGGATGAAGGCGGACTGTCTACCATCACGCAAATCATACTCCGAGTAAATGATATAAACAACAATAAACCTGTTTTTGACAAGAACGAATACATTTTTAAAGTTCTTGAAGGTGAGTATTCTGGTGTAGATGTAGGGACTGTTCTAGCTGAAGATGAAGATTTCTTTGAAAATGGTGAGATTACCTACAGTATTGTTGATCCAGTAGAACCAGCAGACGGAGCAATTTTTACACTTGAGACCAAGTCCGGGGCTATAACTGTATCAGGAGTTCTTGATAGAGAAAATATCCAAACTTATCATTTATTGGTGGCAGCTACTGACCACGGAGAACGACAGTTGACCTCTCAGGTCAATGTGACGGTTCTGGTCCTGGATGTCAATGACAATCAGCCAATATTCTATGGTTACGATAGACTGATGGAAGAGGGAGGTTTTCATACAATTCCTGTCTACACAACTAAACTTCAGGAGGTATTCATCAGTCCTGGAATACAGGTTGCTCAGATACTGGCAAATGATACGGATGATATCTCTACTGGAAATGGGATTGTTGAGTTTAAACTACTGGATAACTCCCAGAGGTTCTATATCGATCCTAAGTCTGGAGTTGTGACAACACTTGTCCGAATAGGTAAGATTCTATCATTTTAAAATTCAACTTTTTTATCAGAGACATTATTTATTTTTCGTTTCCTGCATAAGTAGGTTATTATATCTTGGTTTCCTTTTTTTATCAGCAAAATCTGTTCTTTATGATGGTTTGGTGTTGGGTGTGTAAAACTCAATATAGTTTAAACAACTTCAACATTAGTTTTAAACGAGTGCACTAAATACTGAATAGAAAAGTGTGGGTTGTGGTGTGCTCGAGGGAGTTTGGTTTTGTTAAAATCTTACAAATTTCCGTCCGCGTGTGACTATTTTGTACTGTTCAGAGACGTAGGTTTTTGCTGTGTAAAGTGTAAGTTTTGATATCTGTTGTTGCGTGATATGTTGCTGGGGGTTGTGTAGATGTGTGGCCTCTATTGGTGTGTAATATTTGTCTGTGCTTGTGTTTGGATATGAGAAGTTTGCCACTGTGTAAGTTGTGTGCCAGTGTGTGAATAGTGTGCAGTGTTAGTGTAGATTGATATGTTGTGTGTGTGTTGATATATGAAAAATGTGGATTTATATGTGTGTAAGATATATGTTGTGTGTGTGTTGATATTACTTGGTCCCGGATCAAAGAATTGATTGTCTAGGTTTCAACAAATGAATTATTTATGATGAGAAATGATTCAAAATTCTAAGATACAAATAAAATTTTACGGAGTCAAGCTCAGGTCTTCACACTTCTCTATCTTTCTTTAATATCAAGTATAGATATATAAACAATCCAACGAGAGGAGAAAAAACATGAAATAATCAATTCCAGATTTATGTTTATATATTGGGAATTCCTGGAAGATTAAAATATAATTAAAAAAGTCATGATTCTCATGATTAAAACTATTTATATTGTTCTAGACTTCTGGATTTATTAATCACACCTTCTGATAAAGCTATTTCAATATTCATTCAAATTATTTAAAGTTATTAAAGAATTAAGAAAAAATAATTTGATTGTTTTTCTTGGAAGAATAATTTATCTGAAGGCCATGGTTTAAGTTTTGAAAGTTTTTCTCAAAGGAATTGAGTATTTGGAACAAAATCAAATATTTAAACCTCAATATCTTTAGAACCCGATGTTGTAAACCTTTGATATTTCAAACTCAGATTATTTGATCTAACAGAATTCACAGTTTGAAATATCTAAGGTCTACATCATTTGGTTCCAAAGATATAGTGATTAGAAAATCAGAGTTTGTGGCAAAAACTCAACTCCTTTGTGTACAAAAACCTAAATATTTAGGTGAGAACTCCACCATAACAGTAGAGGCTGCAGACAATGGAACACCATCTAAATCTGCCACAGCTCTCATACATATAATATTATCGGAGGAGAAACCCATCCAGCTGGAACAAACCAAAACTTTTTCGGATGAAAGACCAAATCTGCCGGAGATACCCCGATCCATCCCGGACACAGTTCAGTCCATACAAAATATCTCCAGGAGCAGGGAGAAGCAGGCAGGGAACCGTGGAAAGATTGATTCCATTGAGGAGGAACTACAAGAGAACGGAAAGGACAAAAAGAAGTACGGAAGTATGTTTAAACAAGAGGTTTATACAGTTCAGGTTATGGAGAACGTGGATACCCCACTTGTTATCCTACCCTTGGGCCAAGAGCTAGTACAAGAGGTTGCCGGAGTTAGTTTCCGAATTGTCGGAAGTAACTACGGAATATTCCGGATAGAAGAGAATAGCGGAGAGCTTAGTATAATCTCCAGTCCTGATAGAGAGCAGAGGGATACATATATTCTCCGGATAAAGGTTTGTAACAATATCACCTATGGGGCTGTGTGAACATATTTATATTCGTCCTTGTCCAGTATGGAAGGGTATTTAATAACTTGAGTACAAACAACTCTCAAGAAAATATTGAAGCTTCGCAGCTTTCAAGTTTGAGTTCAAACATGTTCTTCAAAGCTTCTAGATTTATGACCATAATTTGTCTTTAAAATTAAAATTAGATTCCTGTTACACACTTCGGGTTAGCTAGGAACGGTCTTGTCATTTAGTTAAATTTTTTAATTCGATTGCTTATTTTTTAAATTTCTTTTTGTAATCCGGTTTCACAGATCTTGTTTCTGTGTTTTAATCCAGTCAAGTAGCTTGCCTTTTATAATTTTATCCAGTCAAGTCACTTTCTTTTCTTCATTTTAATTCAGTCAAGTCGCTTTCTTTTCTTCATTTTAATTCAGTCAAGTCGCTTTCTTTTCTTCATTTTAATTCAGTCAAGTCGCTTTCTTTTCTTCATTTTGATTCAGTCAAGTCGCTTTCTTTTCTTCATTTTAATTCAGTCAAGTCTCTTTCTTTTCTTTATTTTAATTCAGTCAAGTCGCTTTCTTTTCTTCATTTTAATTCAGGCAAGTCACTTTCTTTTCTTCATTTTAATTCAGTCAAGTCGCTCTCTTTTCTTCATTTTAATTCAGTCAAGTCGCTTTCTTATCTTCATTTTAATTTGCTTTAAAGTTGCTTTATTTTCTTTTTTTTCAAATGAACAGAAATTATTCAATATATTTGCCAATACAATTAAAGAAGTTGTCAAATCATTTAGAATTCCATTAAAAGACTATATTCAAGAATTAAACATTCAGTTTTGTTTTTATAGAATTTTAGGTCGTAATTCTAAACTGCACTGTCTTGGTGGTGGTGGATTAGATTCTAGGAACCATTCGGCCTTTTCCAGTTGCTTGGTTTCAATGATACTTCACATTCTTATCAATCATATTTCAGGAGGCTTCTTGCACCCCCTCATAAACGTCACAATATTAACCCTGGAAAACCGCAAACGTATTTTAAATTAATTTCCCGGTGTGAAAAAAGAAAGTGTTTGCGCATTTTCTGTTGATAGGTTTAGGATATTTGCAATTTTGGAACCAGGAGGAAATATTTATTTGGTGGTTACACTTATAAACCTATAAGTGGTATCTCAGCAGACTTAGATTTATTTTATTTTCCTTTTTGCCATGTCATTTCTTGTTTTAATGTCTTTGTATCAAAACTCGTCTTCATCTGATTAAAATATTCATATTCTTGTTTGCATATTCCCCTTAATCCTTTCTTCATTTTTACTCCTCCTCCTGATTTTCCTCTGTCATATATTAAAATCATTTTTGGTTACTTCTCTGTCGCACATCTTTCTCCTTTCTATTCCCCCCCCNAAAAAGTGCTTTTGATTTCTAAAATGTACATGTCTAGGGTGACAAAAAGTACAAGTGAGTTTGTGAAGTAAAATCAATGCGAAGGTGTTGCGACACTTCAAAGTCTACGTAGACTTGAAAATTGATTCAACTTTTCATGGCCGACTGGATCTATGTGCCCTCCTATCCTCTATTTTTCGTTCCCTCCCTCTTTCTATCCCTCTTTTTCTGATGTCTGTCTCCACAACGTCTATTTGGCCATATTCATATTCAGCATATTTGGCATAGACAATCTTCCAATATAGAAATTTATAGTTTGTTCTCGGAACTGAATATTAATCATATCTGAACCTACATTTAGATGAATTAATGGGTAGGGTGTCAAGATCAACAACCATTAAAAGTCTCAAGGAAATTCATGGCAGTTATCAGAGCACACAACATTATTTCCATTCGCTTTAAGCCTCAACCAAGAACACGGTTCAGTATTTAATTATTGAATTTTAGGGGTTTTTAGAGAAGAAGACATATTTGGCTGGGTTAAATTAAAGATTTTGTATTTTTAAATATATTTGTAATAATTTCCATTTTAGGCGGCGCTGAATGATTCGTCTAAAAAGGTTCCCTTGTTCTTTTATACTCTCTTCATCGAGGGAGACGAGGACGGAGTAGGAGAAGGAGAAGTTATTGTTAGGATTAATATTATGGACGAAAACGACAATCCTCCAGAGTTTTTACTTCCAGAGTTTCATGCAGCTGTTCAGAGTTCTGCAGAATACGGAGATCCTGTATTTATCCTTCAGGTATACAGATATATAAAGTAGTAATCTCTGTTTCTTTGTATGCCCGATCATAACCCATGAACCGATTTTGTTAAAATTTTGATTGGGAAACTCAGCAGAACAACGTAAATGAATGTTCTTATAATTTCTAGGTCGAATGGTTTGACGTTTATAGGAAATACGGGTTCCCAGTTAGTACAAATTTATGAGTTGTTGTGTGTATACCGATATGTGAGTGGTTCTGTATACCGATATATGAGTGGTTCTGTGTACGGATATATGAGTAGTTCTGTATACTAATTTATGAGTGGTTCTGTATACAGATATANGAATAATACTTAATTGAATTTGCTGAAATCTATAGAAATCTGAGGATATTATATCCCATTCTTCACCTTTGACCCCTCCCCTCCCCCTCCCATCTTCCTCCCCTCCTCTCCCTCACGGACCAGATTAGTCTGATTGTTTCAGAGGGCTTTATGAATGAAAATTAATGATAAGAATCATGAGGGGGTGGGGTGAAGGGGGGAAGTTTAAACCACTAACCTCATGAATCATAAATCTCACTATTTGGCCAACATTTTACATGAGATGAGAAAATAATTTCACGTCGATGCTGAATGGTGATGAATTGAGGGAAGAAAGTGTATGCGTGGATTTATCCGGAATCCAACACGTTCCAGACTCAACAAACCCGCGCTTAAATTTCAGCTTATGTATCCTAGTGTAATCTTATATTTCAGCGTGTGTATCCTAGTGTAATCTTATATTCCACCTTGTGTATCCTAGTGTAATCTTATATTTCAGCTTATGTATCCTGGTATAATCTTATATTTCAGCTTGTGTATCCTAGTGTAATCTTATATTCTACCTTGTGTATCTTAGTGTAATCTTATATTTCAGCTTGTATATCCTAGTGTATTCTTATATTTCAGCTTGTGTATCCTAGTGTAATCTTATATTCCACCTTGTGTATCATATTGTAATCTTATATTTCAGCGTGTGTATTATAGTGTAATCTTATATTTTAGCGTTTTGTATCCTAGTGTAATCTTATATTTCGGCTTGTGTATCATAGTGTAATCTTATATTTCAGCTTGTGTATCATAGTGTAATCTTATATTTCAGCTTGTGTATCATAGTGTAATCTTATATTTGAGCTTGTGTATCCTAGTATAATCTTACTTTTCAGCTTGTGTATATCAGTGTAATCTTATATTTCAGCTTGTGTATCATAGTGTAATCTTATATTTCAGCTTGTGTATCCTAGTGTAATCTTATATTTCAGCTTTTGTATCCTAGTGTAATCTAATATTTCAGCTTGTGTATCATAGTGTAATCTTATATTTCAGCTTGTGTATCCTAGTTTTATCTTATATTCCACCTTGTGTATCCTAGTGTAATCTTATATTCCACCTTGTGTATCCTAGTGGAATCTTATTTTTCAGCTTGTGTATCATAGTGTAATCTTATATTTCAGCTTGTGTATCATAGTGTAATCTTATATTTCAGCTTGTGTATCATAGTATAATCTTATATTTGAGCTTGTGTATCCTAGTGTTATCTTATATTTCAGCTTGTGTATCCTAGTGTAATCTTATATTTCAGCTTGTGTATCCTAGTATAATCTTATTTTTCAGCTTGTGTATATCAGTGTAATCTTATATTTCAGCTTGTGTATCATAGTGTAATCTTATATTTCAGCTTGTGTATCCTAGTGTAATCTTATATTTCAGCTTGTGTATCCTAGTGTAATCTTATATTCCACCTTGTGTATCATAGTGTAATCTTATATTTCAGCTTTATATCCTTGTGTAATCTTATATTCCACCTTGTGTATCATAGTGTAATCTTATATTTCAGCTTTTGTATCCTAGTGTAATCTGATATTTCAGCTTGTGTATTCTAGTGTAATCTGAAATTTCAGCGTGTATATCCTAGTTTAATCTAATATTTCAGCTTGTGTATCATAGTGTAATCTTATATTTCAGCTTGTGTATCCTAGTGTGATCTTATATTTTAGCTTGTGTATCCTAGTGTAATCTTTTAAATTGATGCTGAAGATCAGAGTGAAAAAGATTTAAACCTTTAGTTAATAGGAATTTCTCAATAAGTCCTTTAAAGATCTCGTCAATCAATTTCTAATGTCAGAATGAATTCTGCCATTCTGTGAATATCCTTGATTTCTCCGCTATGTATATACTATACAATAATGTGTTCAGGCCTGGGATAAGGATGTTGGAGAGAACTCTGAGCTGGTTTACACCCTGGAGAACACCATGGACAGGTTCACCGTAAATTATAACTCTGGGCAGGTTGTGTCCACTGCTAAGTTTAATACGGAGTCAGGAACTATCTACAGAGTTCTAGCGAAGGTTGAAGATAAGGGAGGAAGACAGGGATCTCTATCCAGTACTGCTCAGCTTGTGGTAAGAATCCCTACAGAGATTATTTAATTTACTTTAACCACTCAATATTCTATCCTAAACTACACCACACATATGCATACTTTCATTCTAATAGTTTTTCTAAATTCTTTTATACTTAAGATTATAGGAATTACATAATTTAAATAAATAAAATGAATTGATTTGAAAGAATAAAGTGAATGAATTGATTGAAATTTATTGAATGAAATGAATTGAATGAAATGAGTTGAATGAAATGAATTGAATGAAACGAGTTGAACGAAATGAATTGAATGAAATGAATTGAATGAAATTAATTGAATGAAATTAATTGAATGAAATGAATTGAATGAAATGAATTGAATTAAATGAATTTTATGAAATGAATTTTATGAAATGAATTGAATGAAATGAATTGAATGAAATGAATTGAATGAAATGAATTGAATGAAATGAATTGAATGAAATGAATTGAATGAAATGAATTGAATGAAATGAAATGAATGAAATGAATGAAATGAAATGAATTGAATGAAATGAAATGAATGAAATGAATGAAATGAAATGAATTTAATGAAATGAATTTAATGAAATGAATTGAATGAAATGAATTGAATGAAATGAATTGAATGAAATGAATTGAATGAAATGAAATGATTGAAATGAATTGAATTGAGTGAAATGAATTGAATGAAATGAATTGAATGAAATTAATTGAATGAAATTAATTGAATGAAATGAATTGAATGTAATGAATGATTGAATGAATTGAATTGAATAAAATTCAACAAATATTTCCAATTTTTTCTCAATTAATTCAGGGTTTTCGATTTCTCAGGAAATCCTAAATGTCTCCATTAGAGGGAATTGCAAATCTATTTCTCAGGGTCCTGTGAGTTCCAGCATTTCATGATAAATTGTAGAGAATATCAGTTCCAGTACTTTTTCGCCGATTAGCTGGCCTAATAGTGGACCGTGGGAACTAATTGTGTTTTTACTCATTGTTAAATTCTTTTTATATAATAATTATATTCAATCCTTACTTACCTCAAGGTTTCAACTATTTGTACTCATCATTGGCAACACTTCATAAATATTGATTCTAGTTTATATTTCAGATATTTTACAATAATTCATAAGATTCCTAAGTGTTTAAAATTTTTTTTTTACATTACAGTATGTGTTTACTGAACTCTACATTGCACTAAGAATATTCAACGACACTACTACAAAACGATTAAATTGTTAAAGAAATGAATATCTAGGTCTCTGTTCTCAATCCTGATCTCGAGGTTCATCTTCTCCTCGACCAGCCTCAACATCTGGTGGAGGCTAATTTACAGAACATAACCTCGGTTCTCTCTAACCTCAGCAGCACCCTGGTTTCTTCTAGCGGAGTACGACCCTCCGGTCTTATGACGGAGGTTCGGTTCTACGGTATAGACGGAGATGCTCTGGTACCCGGAGAACAGTTAAGAAACAAATTGTCTCTCCAGGCTCTGGAACACATGGGAGTTCGTGAGATAGTTCTGGGGAAAGAAGAGCGAAGTTCTGGGTTAGGTTCGGTTGAGGTCGCAGTTCTAACCATCGCCTGTTTGGTTTTCCTCGGGGCCTTTATTGCTGTGCTCTGCATTTGCTGCATTAAACTCCGCAGGTAGCCAAACCATTATTTATTTTTATCCTTGGTTTATCCCCTCAAGCCAATACTAATTCTAACCTCTAATATTTGACGGAATTAAACTTATCTTGTGGTTTCTTTGTTTAAACACTTTTTATGATATTGTTTAGGTTCAACTTGGAATTGTTATCTCAGCATAATTTCCTAACTTCCCTAATTTATTTATTGATTCTAGGTCTCAGAAACATTATCCTGCTCCTTTAGCTATTCCTCTCCCGAACTATAGTTTCGACCAAGGTGGGAAGGATATGATGGAACGTGAAACTAGTCAACGGTTCGGAACTATACCTAGAGTTTCCACAATTCAAGACCGAACCCGCAGCGACAGAATTTCCACCAGAGCACATTCTGAGCGAGGACGGGACAAAGAGGCCAGATCTGTTCACATAGAATCCTCGGAGGATGATGCATATTTAGCTAAATCGAGTTTACAGCCCAGGTAAAATAATACATCATTTTTAGGAGGTTGCACAAATCTTTAAAGGGACTGTAAATGAAGTATTAATCCATCATTGTTATTATTTAAATTCCAACAATGTTCTTTTGAACATATATCAGAAAAACAATGACTTCCTTGTTTACTAAAGACTTTTCTGTAGTGGATCACCGTCCTTTAGACAGAATAAGATATACCTCCAGTCGTTCGGAATGTTTACAAGACTGTCCTAGAAGAGTGATATTATTTCTATCACGTGAACAGTCCATTTTGGCTTCTAAATAGTTGAATTCTTCTCTCCACCATTTTTTACTTCAGAGGAGCAGAGAGACGGAGTCAACATTCTCGTCACTCCGGATCCTCACATCGTAAATCAGTTCGTAGTGTTCATGAAGTCAAGAGTTCAGGAGAATCCTCTAGGTACTATTTTCATTCAACACTATTATAAACAAGATGTGAATCCGGGTGTTAGCTTCTATAGTATACGTATATCCAGGTGTTACCTTCTATAGTGTAAGTGTATGCAGATATTAGCTTCTTTAATATACGTGTATTAAGGTGTTAGCCTCTATAGTATTCGTGTATCCAGGTGTTAGCTTACATAGTATACGTGTATCCAGGTGTTAGCTTCTATAGTATTCGTGTATCCAGGTGTTAGCTTCTATAGTATTCGTGTATCCAGGTGTTAGCTTACATAGTATACGTGTATCCAGGTGTTAGCTTACATAGTATACGTGTATCCAGGTGTTAGCTTACATAGTATACGTGTATCCAGGTGTTAGCTTCTATAGTATACGTGTATCCAGGTGTTAGCTTACATAGTATACGTGTATCCAGGTGTTAGCTTCTATAGTGTACGTGCGTATTTTGTATGCTTGCAGTTGGAATGAACTTTTAAGTAAACGTGTAAGCTCAACTTGTTTCGTCTTTTCAAAAGTTTTCAACTTATATTCATCTTGCAAACTTTTTAAAAGGAATTGATTTTTTGTCACAAACTCAAATCTTCTGATCCCAATATCTTTGCAACCTGAAGGTGCAAACTTTTGATATTTCAAACTTAGATTATTTTATATATATTAGTATTAATTATAGTATTAATAGTTTGAAATATCTAAGGTCTACGACATTGGGTTACAAAGATATAGAGATTAAAAAATCAGAGTTTGTGGCAAAAACTCTTTTTTAGTAAAATTTTAACTATAGAAAAGATATGATATATATACAATGTACATTGTACATATACGTATAGAGATTAATACTAGTGGATGAGTGTTTACTTATATCCTTAAATGACAGAAAATAATAGGACATATAAGTGTAAGTACATATGCTAGGAGGATGAGTGTTCAATATTTTAAAATATCTGATACTACTTTTCAAGGTCTAGGGATTCTGGGATAGATGATAACAGGGACTGCTGTAGTTGTAGACAATCTAGTGTGAGTAGTAGGTGAGTGTTAAATATATTCTTCTCTCAACACCTGTAATATAACAATTCAGTTCACTTAAAGGAACTGTACACGTAATTTTATGTAAATTTTCATCTAAAAAATTGAAGCATGTCCAAATCACAATGGTTCAGTACCTGGTTCCTGATGACAATGAATTTGTCGCCTGAAAAATAAGAATATTTCCGTCGTCATAGATGAGACACAGGATTAAAGGGTATTATTAAGAATTGGACATACGTATATGGAGCTTAACTTCATATTACATCTTTAGTTCCTTTAAACATTGTTTAGTTTTTATGATTCAGGAGTTTTAGTGTAGTCCTTTACTGTTGGAAGATGTTCCAAGATCAAACATGTTTTTTGCCAAAACATTTAGATCTCCATTGTGCAAACATTTAATAGGGGTGCAATTAAAGTCATCGTCATGTATAGTTCTGTTCTTCTTTACAAACATTGCACAATAGAACTGTACAGTACTCTGAGTAAATAAACATCAAAGTAAACAAAAACAGGAAACTTCAGGCCGACCTATTAGTTTACCAAACTAAAATGAAAACAAATTAAGCTTTCGGGTTTTAGTCAAACAATTTCAGAGTTGGATGGATGGAATACAGAAAAAATTAAGTGTGTTTATTTCCATATCTTAGAACAGTACTTAAGTTTTTTTACAAAACTTGTTTATAGGGTTTAAAAAGACTAGATAGATGCGAGGAAGAATATTCTGCGGTTGAAAAGATTGTTATGTATATTGTTCAAGTTTGTCAATACAATCATGGGTTGTATTCAAATATCTGGGTTCACTGAGTCTATTGTTAGGTTCGTGACCAACCCAACGTCTATAAATGTCGAAACCTAACATTTCTCTGTTTATTCTTCTTCAAGCGTTCAATTTTTTATCCAAACAAAGACAGTTCCCCCTCCCCCCGGTATCTATACTTCGATCTTTATCCTTGTATAGTCTTCAGGTTGTGTATATACTAAGTACCTTCATTGATGGCCAACTTATTTGATTTTTATTCCCTATAACCAATCATTCAAGGCAATCAGTGTCACGTTTTAAATGTTTATTTATAAAGGTGGAAGGATGACTGAACATTTTATTTGTTGATTGTAGTTCGGATAGTTTGGTACTTTTTTATTTCCTTACTCCAGCCTTGATATTCTATCTGTATATATACAATATTCTACTCGAGAATCCATAAACCGCAAATCATAGCTTTCGAAGACGGATTTGCTTCTCCGGGTGGGTTGGAATCCCTATTATTTGCTCCCATCGGTCATCTTTCTCGGGGAATATATCTCCACACCGTGCAAGAAACAAACAGTTAAATCTCATTATTCAAAATGTTGAACCACGAAACCAAACCAGACGAGATTCTGGGGATTTCAACACTAGGGTTCAGGGTGGGAGGTCTTAGATTCATCAATCCTATATTTTTTAAAGTATTTAAGATCTTCCATTTGTAATATATTGCAAAAATTCTTAACTGAGTACATTGCGGTCCTGTCGGAGTGAACGGGTTTCTTTAACCTGCATTTTAAGATCTTTAGGAAGCGTTTTTTCAAATACATAAATAAATAGATAAAAGTACCGATGAACTTCTAATGCTCTTATTGTTCTTTCTATATCTTATATTGCTTGAACAATCCCTTGAAACCTTTAATATTTCTAGAGAGAGCAGCTATGCTCCCCCACACTGTAACCGCTGCTGTGGTTGCCCCGCACAGATCACCAGGAGACATAGAAGCTCTTCTCCTACCCGCAGATCTTGCTCTTTACGTCCTCGCTGTTCATCACATAGATCCGTACCTAGACACGCTCACTCACATCACGATCTCAGACCGGAGACAGATACTGAGTCTGAGTCTGATTCTTCTCATCTGAGAGGAGATCGTGTTGGATCAGGACGGAGAACTCTATATACAGCTGAGCTTTGGAGCAGGTATCCTATTATATACATAAAGCTGTGATGTACGTACAGGGTGTCCCAATAAACATGGAAATTGAGAGATGACTTGAAAGTCGTTTTTGAGTTCTGATATTTAATGCATGTCAAAAAAGTGTGAAAACGAGGTTGTACGTCTTACGAGCTTTTTATAAAGTGGTCTATATATATATATTTATATATACACCTTCCTTGTATCTTAAAAAATGACGGAGATATTAGATATTAAGACAATTTTGATTTATCAAATAAATTTTAAATTTCTTAAAATTTTGCAATATCTCCGTCAATTTTGAAGATAAAAAGTTAGAGACGACCTTTGAAAATCTAAAGACTAGGCAGTTTTTTATTAAATATTTAAGCTGGAATACGGCAGTACTTGTCAATAGTGCGTCCTTAGTGTGTGTCCCCAATTTTTATCCTCACCGAACAACATCACTGTTCGTCCTCATTATTGGTACATCCTCATAACCTTGTTTAAAGGGAGAATTTTTATTAATTTTGTTGCTTGTATGAGAGGCTTCTATTCTATTTCTAGTAGATTTATTACAGTTTACTGTTAATATAAGTTTAAAATTTGAAATTTGAAATTCTTTACGTTACGTTACGTACAAGCTTTTGATTAAGTTAGGTGTTTTGGCCGCTTAAACTTGACATTTATTATAGAATTAACGAATTCAGAATTACACAAAGAAAGATAAGGTGCAGCATGATCTTTGGCATAGCATTTAAACACAGCTGTTTACATCTAAACATAATTCGTTCTTTGTGATGCAATTGTTCTCAAAACTTTTAAGACGCTTTTAAAAGAAGAATCTACTGAGTTATTTTCTAATCTCTTATCAGGTTGCAAAGATATCGAGATTAGAAAATATGAATTTGTGGCAAAAACTCAGTGTCTTTATACATATATATAGAAAATCCCTGTTTTTAAGAACAGAAAAAGAAATGAGTTTTCAATGATATTTCAATATTTTGTAATTTTTTGTTTAGATCATTAACTCCGTCCCAGAGCGAGGCTAGACTATCCCAGGCAGAGCTGAGGTTAGCCTCAACGACAGCTAACAGAGGTCACAGCTGGAGAGGAGAAATTAGACCAATCCTTCATATAGACAAGAAATTCCAGTTTTCGGTGAGTTTTCGCACAAATCGCAGATTTTAATTTTTTCTGTAGATATATCATTTCTACTTTTTAAGGGGGTTTATGACGAATCATAATCAAACTACTTATTTGGAAATTCCTGCAATTAGAATCGAATATTTTATAAAAACCACCCGCAACGAATATCAAATTGATACTCTGAAAAGCTTGCTTGGTTGTATGGAAAAGACGATATTTTGCTCCCTTGAGTGTTTGTGGTTTGTTTTCTTGTTTTCAAATTATTTCCCGATCATATTTCAGTTAGAATATAATCTCTGGGGTTAGAGAGAGAGAATGTTTTTCCATTTAGGGCAAGGGACAATTTGCTGTTTATTTAATGAGGAATATCACGCCATATTTATATTTAAACAATACGCATCAATTCAACCTTTAGAAAATCTCAATTGAAACGTTTAAAAACTGAGATTACCAAATTAATGAAAACATGAAAAATTTTCTTTTGTAACTTTAATATCATTTTTGGAAACCTTTTTTCACAGTTTTTATATCAGTTTTACTTATTAACAATTTTGATTTTAATGCTGGGTTTGTCTTAGACTTTATTTTAATTCCAGCAATTTGTCTTATTAACTCGTGTATATAATTTGTATGTTTATATGTTCGTTTCTGAACTAGAAAAGAACATGGCGTCAATGAATAGGTATTATTAGCTTCTCATGCAGACAAACTGCCTGACAAGAGGTGACGTTCTAGCGAAGATTTAAGGCAGTAACTAAGCCCGTTAAGGCATCCGGTGTATTTGCATGTTTTGCCTGAAGCATGCAATCATGTGTAGCATTCCTGCTAATTTTCAGCCATGTATATTGTATACTGGATTGTATTGTTCATCTGGTGCAATTTCATAGAGCTCTTCCTCCTCCTTTGTCTTGTACTGGAGATTTCAGTCTTGTACTGGAGTTTTCATCTTGTACTGGAGGTTTCAGTCATGTACTGGAGGTTTGAGTACTGTACTGGAGATTTCAGTCTTGTACTGGAGATTTAAGTCTTGTACTGGAGATTTCAGTCTTGTACTGGAGATTTCAGTCTTGTACTGGAGATTTCAGTCTTGTACTGGAGGTTTCAGTCTTGTACTGGAGGTTTCAGTCTTTTATACCATGGAGATTTCAGTATTGTACTGGAGATTTCCGTTTTATCGGAGATTTCAGACTTGCACTGTAGATTTCAGTTCTGTTCCGGAGATTTCAGTCTTTTACCGAAGTTTTAAGTCTTGTTCTTTAGATTTCTTACACAGGAGATTTCAGTCTGGTACTTAAGTTTTCAGTCGTGTACTGGAGATTTTAGTCTTTTACTGGAGATTTCAGTCTTGAACTGGAGGTTTAAGTACTGTGCTGGAGATTTCAGTCTTCTATTTGAGGTTTCATTAACTGGAGGTTTTTTATCGAAAGTTTAATTTTTGCACTAGAGAAATCAGTGTTTGAAGTTAATTAGGGTTCATTATGAGATTAAGAGATAATTTTCCTATTTTTCAGGATCGACATCAAAGCAGTGGTCACATACATGGAGATAAATCAAACAAGGAAACTTCGATTAGAACCAGTTCTCGGAAATCCAATCTTAAACCTCCTCGAACATCTTAGAACCAAAACAACCTCAGAGAACCTCTAAGAGTATCCTCCGTATTAGTTTATTTCTTTAAGCTTTAAGCTTTAAACACTCAAAAGATTTTAACAATTATGTTTAGAGGAGATTTGACTTCAATATCAAGTACAATTGAACATATTGATTATATGAAAATTAATAACTATAAAGTGAAAAATAGACCATTCTTCATTTGAAACTTTCTGAAGATATCCAAGACTGTCCTTAAGAACTCTTTAAGAACCATTAGAAAGGTCTAGAACTCTACAGAATGTCAAGAAGAGTCCAAGAATTTTGTCAGTTCAGGAAATTAAGGAAGTTGAGGGGGTTAAGAAACTCTGAAGGATAATATCTTGAGTTGAGAAACTCTGCAGGATATTGTCAAGAGTTGAGAAACTCTGCAGTATTTTATCAAGAGAAAAAAACTCTGCAGGATATTGTCAAGAGTTGAGAAACTCTGCAGTATTTTATCAAGAGAAAAAAAACTTTGGAGGATATTATCAAGAGTTGAGAAATTCTGGAGGATAATATCAAGAGATTAAAAACTGAAGGATAATATCAAGAGATAAGAAATTCTGAAGGATTATATCAAGAGATAAAAAACTGAAGGATAATATCAAGATTTGAGAAACTGAAGGATAATATCAAGATTTGAGAAACTGAAGGATAATATCAAGAGTTAGGAAACTCTGAAGAGTTTGAGGACCCCTAAAACGAATATTCCAGAACTTTTATATGTTGGTTGAAACTTTGTGCAGAGTATTTTTGTCTTTTTACGTAAAAGGTAAAAGATAAACGGGCATTATAGAATTATCATTTTTCATTTAGACTTTGCTTGTGAATGGGATTTTTAACTAAGAAGAATTAAGTGAATTTTTTTATCCGCCGTAGCTAGTCATGTTATACAGGGTGTCTCCCGTAATATGGATTTATAAAAGGAAAATATAACTATCGGGAGTTTAAAGTTTTCTACAGATTTACAATTTTGGAACAGCATTGTTTTTGTTTTAACTGTTCTTATCTCAAGTTCAAGGAAAATGTAATGTAATAAGACTGAACTTGCACCTATGTAAATTTAAAATTTGCTCAAAATGAAACAAAAGATTATCAATTTTCTTCTAGTCCTGAAAAATAAAAATCTTATTTAATCCCTGAACCAAAATAAGTTTAGCTTTAAACCTCGTAAATCCAGAAAATGTTTGTGTCCTATGAATCCTAAGTGTATATTTATCATCTTGTTATATCTTAATGTGAACTCGTAAATTATTATAAAATGTTAGAATATTTAAATTATGAATTAAACTTTGTCCTAATAAAACCTTTATGAATATTTTGAAAAGAGTTTGGTAAAAGAGAATTTTCTAAAACATGTTATGGAATAAAAATCAACCAAAAATTGTAGTAAAACGTGACAAAAAATATATTTTGGATAATTCTTTGATTTATATGTTTACAATTGAACGAAATAATCCTGAGGATGAAAAGATGATGACTTGTTATCCTTAAGATTACAAACTGATTCATCCTCCCATGGTCAGATGGAATCCTGGAGTTAAAACGTCCCAACACATGGGTTTATTTATCCAAACACAAAAGAAATGAAGTGTCATCGGTACACAGGATCCGGAGATCAGATATCTATCAATATTAATCCAACCTTTGACACAAAATACAAAGATGAATCTAGAAGAAGATACAAGGACGAACATGGACCAGGATATGAAGGTCCATCATGAACTTGGTACAGGAGACAAGGACGAACATAGACCAGGATATTAGGGTCGATCATGAACTTGGTATAGGAGACAAGGACGAACATAGACCAGGATATTAGGGTCGATCATGAACTTGGTATAGGAGACAAGGACGAACATAGACCAGGATATGAGGGTCGATCATGAACTTTTTACAGGAGACAAGGACGAACATGGACCAGGGTATGAGGGTCGATCATGAACAGGGTACAGGAGACAAGGACGAACATAGACCAGGATATGAGGGTCGATCATGAACTTGGTATAGGAGACAAGGACGAACATAGACCAGGCTATGAGGGTCGATCATGAACAGGGTACAGGAGACAAGGACGAACATAGACCAGGATATGAGGGTCGATCATGAACTTGGTATAGGAGACAAGGACGAACATAGACCAGGCTATGAGGGTCGATCATGAACTTTTTACAGGAGACAAGGACGAACATGGACCAGGATATGAGGATCGATCATGAATAGGGTACAGGAGACAAGGACGAACATGGACCAGGATATGAGGATCGATCATGAATAGGGTACAGGAGACAAGGACCAACATGGACCAGGATATGAGGGTCGATCATGAACAGGGTACAGGAGACAAGGACGAACGTGGACCAGGGTATGAGGGTCGATCATGAACAGGGTACAGGAGACAAGGACCAACAGGGACCAAGAGTCCAGGAAACAACTTGGACTAGGATACATAAATCTAAACCTGTATAAAAAGGAACTTGACCATTATAAACGAGGAAAGGATGATACAAGAAATTACAAATTATGAACCAGGATAAAAGACGAGGATTGAAGGAAAAAACATGGATCAGGTCAGGATACATGGATAAGCCAAAATCAGGAGACATAAATGAACCTAAATCAGGATACATGCATGAATTTAACACAAGATACACGAAAGGACATGAACCATAATGAAATGATCAGGATACATGACTGATCATGGATCAGGATACAATACTGATCATGGATAAGGATACAAGAATGATCATGGATCAGTATACAAGAAGGATCATGGATCAGGATACAAGACTGATCATGGATCAGGATACAAGACTGATCATGGATCAGGATACAAGAATGATCATGGATCAGTATACAAGAAGGATCATGGATCAGGATACAAGACTGATCATGGATCAGGATACAAGACTGATCATGGATCAGGATACAAGACTGATCATGGATCAGGATACAAGACTGATCATGGATCAGGATACAAGACTGATCATGGATCAGGATACAAGACTGATCATGGATCAGGATACAAGACTGATCATGGATCAGGATACAAGACTGATCATGGATCAGGATACAAGACTGATCATGGATCAGGATACAAGACTGATCATGGATCAGGATACAAGACTGATCATGGATCAGGATACAAGACTGATCATGGATCAGGATACAAGACTGATCATGGATCAGGATACAAGACTGATCATGGATCAGGATACAAGACTGATCATGGATCAGGATACAAGACTGATCATGGATCAGGATACGAGACTGATCATGGGTCACGGACGGCGCAGAATGATACGAGGACATTGTTCCTAAAAGTTATTGCTGAGCTTGGATCTCTAAATATTAGATCTTTTGCTCCGTTATTATAATTTGCTATGTATCTACTTCTTTGATGTTTATAGAGAATCATGATTGATACAAAACAAATCCATTTATGTTTTGTCTTACAATTCTGTACTCATCTCAAAATTAAGTTAGTTGCGTGACAGTAATTTTAATGAACCCGTGTCCCGTATACGGAGTGTTGTTATATTCAAAGTAATATAGTAAAGAGTGTCAAGCTGTGATATTGGTGTTATCTACTACACTACGGGTTGTATCCTGAGTCTAGTCTAGTTTCTTGAGTACGATGTATTGAGCTACTTCTAAGTATCCTGGACATAACGTGGTAACTGCTACTGTCTAGTTTCTTGAGTACGATTTTTTGAGCTACTTTTTATCCTGGCACATGGTGTGTTGAGCTATTAGTAAGGTGTGTTGAGCTACTAATACAGTGTGTTGAGCTACTAGTACGTTGTGTTCAGATATTAGTATGCTGTATTAAGCTACTAGTTTGGTGTATTGAGCTACTTGTACAGTGTGTTGAGCTACTAGTACGGTGTGTTGAGCTACTAGTACATTGTGTTGAGCTATTAGTACGGTGTATTAAGCTACTAGTACAGTGTGATGAGCTACTTTAGTACAGTGTGTTGAGCTAATAATACGGTGTGTTGAGCTACTAGTGCGGTGTATTAAGCTACTAGTACAGTGTGATGAGCTACTAGTACGGTGTGTTGAGCTACTAGTACGGTGTGTTGAGCTACTAATACGGTGTGTTAAGCTACTAGTACAGTGTGTTGATCTACTAGTACGGTGTGTTGAGCTACTGTTGCGTATTGTCAGCTAAGGGACAAGTCGTGATGTTACGAGATTGATTGAATAAGGTTACAGGACATTCCTATATATCAGGTTACGTCATCCTATACCAATCACTCCTATACCTTCCACCTTCCCCCCCTCGTTCAGTCCTAAACTAACCTTCCCCCAGCCCGGTTACAGCACAATTCACAGGCATCCTTCCCACCGCGGACTTATCAGAGTAAGAAGCATTCGGTTTCTTTTATTTGAAATCAATCGTGTTTTGCTCTATAACTCAACAATCTTTTATTTTACGGATTTGTTTGTTTAGTACATTTTATTGTTTAAAGAAAAGGCTAAAAAGTTATGTTTTTGGTCAAATTGCGATGAGAAATCAGACCATTCTGGAATATTGACAAAACTTTTAAATCCACGTGTTCTAATCTCCTTCCTTTTAAAAACCAAATATATTTTTCTTAAATTGAAGAAAAAATGTTTCTCAGATGCACAAAATTCATGCTTAAACGGAATTCGGAAGAAGCTTTCACTTCAAACTAAACAGAAGGAGAAGGTCAAGTATATGTCACGTTACAGGGGATACTTTGTTATGATTGATAATTTGATATGAGTTTGATTTGAGTTATATTTGAAAACATTTAAGATATTTCAATCTTACATGTGTTTCGCTGTCTAATATTAATTCAATCAAGATTTTGCCAATAGCTCCTCAAACCAAAGCTAGAGAAACAATAGATTTGCGCCTTAGAGATGTTCTTTCCTATTTTATTTATACAACACCCATCTCTGACCTACTTCAAATATGCCCCCCCCCCCCTGATAAAAAATATATCTGCCAGGCTAGGCATATATTTGTACTGAAACCTAATCTAGTGTGAATGTATGTTTATGTTGAATACCAACACTTGATCTGTAACCCTGAATCCATTCAAGATCAGCGAAAAAGAAAAAATGGGAGGAACCCAATTTTGAGCTGAACACTTGCCTACACACCGAATTTTCTAATCCTTATCTTTTTGAAACCTGATGTCGCAGGCTTTTTATATTTCAAAAGATATATATGAGCAAAGGAACTGAATTCTAGACTAAAACTCTGATTTTGTTATCCCTTTATCGTTACAAACCCGTTGTCGAAGAACTTTGATATTTCAAACTAAGAAATGTGCTTGATGTCACAGTGAAAGTTTAAAATAGTATAAACCGTCAGAAAATTAAAGTACAAGGTAAGAATAATATGCATATGTAATATGCATATTTCTATTGCACAAAATATTCTTCTGAGCACTAGAAAATATAAAGGAAAAATTAGTTGAATCCTGGGAAATTCTCGTATTTCTATAGTGCTGGTTTTATGTTGGGTGTAGTGGAAGGAGTGAGTCCCTTTTATTAGGGAGGGCAGGGG